AATATTTACTTGCATTACGCTTTTGTAACGCTTCGTCACGTGGTAAATCTTTTCCCGCTGCTCCGATCATTATTAATAGAGTTGTTAAAAAAATGTACAGAAATAGCGGACGTCTCGATAGCGCGAGCTATCCATCCCCTTTCTGTACATAATAACAGGGTTGGGAAAGTTACTTTGTAAAAGTAACTAGTTACAGTTACAAGTTACCGATTTTAATAAATAACTCGTTTACAATTACAGTTACTCAAAAAGTAACGAGTCATTATTTTTCAGTTACTTTTTAAAAATAATTATACATTATTTTAAATATAAGGAGCTTACATTTTATGCACAATCACAGTCAAGTATTTAAAAAACTCTTGAATGTAATAATTGATCGATTTGTACCATCAATGTATGAATGACCTTTATATACAACAGTAACAATAGTTAGTAACTTACTAAATGGTAATCGCAAAGTCGCAAGCAAATCGACCAATTATTACATTTAAGAATTTTTTTAAATACTTGACTGTGATTGGTCGATCTTAATTATGTGTTATATTATTTTATGTATACTAAATGAGAATTTTAGGTAAAAGATTAAATCATATGGAGATCCATGTGCTACTGTTATCAGAATTTAATAACAATATAACGGCTACCATACTTGAACGATACTTTTAGCACATGTTTCCAAAAAAAGAAACTAATAAAATAACTATTAAAATAGTTACTAGTTACTTAAAAAATGTAACTAAGTTACAGTTACAGATGAAGAAAAGTAACGAAGATAAGTTATAGTTGCCGAGAAAAAGTAACTGTAATTTCGTTACAAGTAACTCGTTAACTTCCCAATTGTGCATAATGAAAGCCTAAGGAGAGCGCAGTTGTGTTGCACGATTATTCTTTCAAAAAAATCAAATTCTGCGCGGAGTGCAACACATAATGGCAGTTACGACCATGATGTTCCGCCATGATGCCGTGTGTCTTTCGCATAAGTGCTCATTGTAACAGAATTGCGCGTTAAAAGGTCGAGAAAACGAGGAAGTGCGATATAAATTATAGTTAAAATCCACGCTTCTCCACGGAATGGCAAATTCGTTTCTACGTCTTCACGTCGATCAATTTATATGTATACTCTTTGAAACGGGCATTTATTTTTCAAGATTCATACACAGAATTTTCTCTTAGAATTTACCCTGAAAATCAGGATAATCGATAATATCGTATTGGAAAAATTTTGTAAGAGTTTCTCTGATTAATATTTACCACAATAAAAAATATTAATATCTGCCGTACAATAAGACAAGATATATATAAAATGTTTAATTAATTTTACAATGTACAATTGTAATAAAATTTTACTAAAAAATATTATCTATCACAATAAGATATAAAATATGTTGGATTAATTTTATTGTGCACTGTAAAAAATATGCAAAATTATATAAAAAATATGTAAAATTATGTAAATAATAAGTGTAAATTATACGATAAATAATGAAATTGTATATATTTTTATTATTTATTGTGTAATTTTACGTATTTTTATGCAATATTACATATTTTTTTTACAGTGTGTACATAGTAAAATTAATCGAACATATTTTATATTTTATTGTGATAGCTATTAATATTCTTTATTATGGTCAAAATAATCAGAGAAACTCATAAAATTCTTCCAATCATCATTATTGCCTTTGATTATTACTTCGTCGATATTTTCTACCCTTTTCGTGAAAAATTATTCGATGACTAACACTCTTTTATTGATATTATTGTATATAATATCTCTCTTATAATCTTTTTAATTTAATTTATTCAGTTTAATTTATCTTTAATGATCACATCGCTTGAAATTCTATCAATTTGTCGACCGGATTAGGAAGAAAAAAAATTGAAGAAACTATTGTGAACAAATTTCTCCTTATTTTTCTCTCTCTCTTTCTCTTTTAATACAAATATCGTTTTGTTTGGTAACTGCTTAGGCAAGTTTATTCTAAAGTGTACACAGAGGAAAGGAGCTCAAGTCCCGTTCTACGGACTATGATGGATAACAGCCTGTAGGAATGATTTTAGAAATGCCGCTGGATATATTAATTTAATTGTATAACGAGGGCTATTTTTTTCCACAATTTACCGTTACAAGAACGCTATGCATTATCGTTTTTTTCTTATTTAAATATGATTTATATTATAAACAGTGTTTTGCTTATAGATGATTTTCAAATTAACTAGATAAAGATGAGATAAAAATATGTAAATTCATCTTAGAAAAAGTGAAGATGATTTTGTTTTAAATATATCTAAATAATTTTCTAGATAATAATTTTTAAGACTACTTATGTAAACGCAGTTATAAAAAAGTGCAAATTATAAAAGAGGTATAAAAATATATGTATTCATATTTTTATTTATACATTTTTGTAAGTTCTACTTAAGTATTTTTATGTTCTATGATTTTAAACCAAAATTATCTGGAAATTATTCTAGATAATTTAGTAAAGACAATACTTTTTTTTATCTAAGATACAGATATAAATAATACATATTTTTATTATCTATATAAAGATAAGATGACGCCAAAGTTTCATCTGCATGATCATCTATATTTTGTTTTGTTAACAAACTTTTTCAGTATAAATTTTTAACATAGTTTTTAATATAATAAATTTTAAAATTATTGAAATTTACTAGATATATATTTCAGAAAAATTAAACATATTTTATATCTTAATAAGATAATAATATTTTTATTGTAGTAAATATTAATATGAGAAACTTACAAAATTTTTGCCATGAATTTTAGGATAAATTTCCTAATTAAATTTACATTGCGTTTGAGATTCTTGATATGTTAGAATTCTACGTTGGAGTTACTCCGTCATAATCGGAAATAACGCTCTCATCATTGCAGTGTAACAAGCTTTCTGAAAGGTCGAAGTAAATGCTCGCGTCTCCACCGGAAACGATCATTAATCAACGGATCTCGGTAACGTATCGCGCAAAAACGTGCGAAAGCCTCGCGAGTCGTCACATGACTCACCACCAGCAGCACCAAAGCATATACGTAATAGCGAGGCTCTGGATATAGGAGCGATTTAAAACGCATTGCCTGCAGCGATTATTCTGCATATATTGTGCGAAAAAAAGTATGAGAAATATAGAGTGAATATTGGATTCTAAATGCACTTTTGTGCGGCATTTTTATATCGTACACTGAAAAAAAAAATGTCGTAACTTCACGAAATCTCGTTCAACTAAATATTATTTTCTCTTCATCTGTATACTATGATTTAAATAATTTTTCCATTTCTGTTGTAATATATCAAAGTTTATATAAACTTTAAAATAAATTTCTAATATGCGCGCAATATTTATAATTTTGTGTTTCATTAAATATAATTATGAGTATCACACAGAGAATTTTCTCTTAAAATTTATCCTGAAATTCATGGTAATACGTTGGAAGAATTTTAGAACAGTTTCTTTTATTATATTTACTACCTACAATAAAAAATAATATATCTGTCACAAATAAGATATAAAATATGTTTGATTAATTTTACTAAAAAAATATATATTGAATTTTAATCATTTTAAAGTATATTAAAAACTTAGTCTGAAAAAAATTTGTTAACTTGACTGAATATTATTTTGTCAATTTGCTCATATAGAAATATTTAAATAAAATATAACATATTAAATCTAACAAAATAGTAATTTAGTTGAAAAGTTTAGTCTATTTTTTTCCAGTGTATATATTACTCTGATATTTATGTTATCTATATTGATAGTTTCTCGAATTTTTGAACCATTACCTTGTTAATTTTTCAAGCAGTAAAACACTTTGAAACGCAGAAGAATTATTAGAAAAATAATATAGCAACTTTGTGTGTCAAATCCATGTGTATTTTGAAGACTGACTAAGTTTAAAGAATTTTAAAGTAAAACATTGTGTTAAATATAAAGAATATCCAAGAATACTATTAATACACATACTCTATTATATTATAATATATTCGAAGAAGACAGATTAAACGCGTCTTTCTTTGATTTTAATACATGGATTTTGCCAAATAATTCTTATCAATTTATATTCTGATTTCTCAATTCTTCTTGCATGCATATATCATAATATTTTGCAAGAGCATCGTAAAAGAATTCAGAATCATGTATAATTTTCGTGCCAGAGTATTTCGTATATATTACGCTTTTCGTCATTTTATATATAGCATTATCTGAAAATACATCTTAATTTACACCTCGCATCAATTTAACATGATAGATTGTCATCATTTTCAATTTGGTGTCGACGCGATTTATTATCGTAAACAGCTCTTATCCAACTTCTGTAGAAAATTTTGGCGCAGAATTGATTTTTATTCCAAATTTATAAGAAATAACATGATATCCTGTAGGTATATGTATTGTATATACGCCAAAAAGAACATGCGAAGAGAATGATCAGAACAAGAATAGATAATACCACAGAGAGAATTTTCTCTTAGAATTTACCCTGAAAATCGTGAGACAATACGGTTGAAAGAATTTTGTGACTTTCTCTTTTACAAAAAATATTAATATCTATCACAATAAGATATAAAATATGTTTGATTAATTTGACTAACAATAAAATATATAGTAAAATTTTAATAATTTTAAAATATATTAAAAACTATATTACAATCTTACATAAAAGTTAATTATTGTTTGTTTTTATAAGTTATAAACATATTGGTTTTAAATTAAAGTATTATTAATTTTTATGTTCATTTGTCATCAATGGTAATTACAAAAAAATATATTTTTATACAAAAATCAAAATTTCTGTTATTTATTATTACAAATTTTAAAAGAATTAACAAACAAAATTTTGAAAAAATTCACTTTCGATTTAACTTCAGTTAATTTTTGTTCGCGCAACTTTGAACTTAACTAAATTAATCCGATAAGCTTCTAACTTGAACTAAACTTGATTGAAAAAAATCATTAACTCATCCAATCTCTCTGCATAGTAAAATGGAAGAAATGGAGACGACGCAAGACAATGACGTGAAGCTGCCAAATATCTTGGTATCATCGGTGTTCGCTGATTCATCGGCAACACATATACATATAGGAAAATATTTGACGCTCGCCGCACTAGTCATCCCGGGTATTTGGGGATGCTGGGTGGCTCAGGTGGTTGCGTGGCGGCTTGAAATAACGTCGTTCGCCCGCGCAAAATCGTGTCGATTAGGGCCACGAATAGTGCGCGCCCACCACCTCGTCAAGAGCCGCCGATAATTTTAGAACATTTTGTTGTGTGTGCCAGATCAACGTCGTTGGCGTGCGTCACTGTATCTCCTCGCTCTGTCGTGTGCGTGATATTCGCAAAGTCGATCGAAAACCGTATACGATAATATATTAGCTCAATCTCTGCAAAACTCGTATATACATACTATACCTACATGTAGATACATGGATATCGCGCACCAGTTTTTCAGGAAAATTGCGTAATAGAATGTGCAGCTGATTTTTTAACGTGTCCTTGTCGAGCAATCTGTTCTGCGCAATTTTTTAATCAAATATAATATTATGCATTTTTTGAAAATTATATTTTAAAGATCTTTCTTGTTACGTACGCGCAGTGTTTGCTGTTATCTAAAATTATATAGATGATTATTTCGATGAGATTTTGACGTCATCTTTATGGAGATAATAAAAATATGTATTATCTATATATGTGCATTTGAGGAAAAAGTGTCTTTACTCATTTCTCTAGAATAATGTTTAGATAATTTAGTTTAGAGTCATAGCACTTAAAAATACTTAAGCAGTAAGTGATAAAAACTTTTATAAAAGTATGACAATATTGTTATATTGCTTTTACAATATAATTAAATTTTTTTTGTAACTATTTTTATATAAGCGGCTTTAAAAAGAATATTATCTGTGGAAGTTATCTAGAGGATAACTATACAATTTGATCTTTCATCTAGAATCTAGATATAATTAAATTCAAAGTAAGTTTTATAAATAAAAATATGTATTATTTACATCTGCATCTTAGATCAAAAAAAGTATTATTTTATTTACTGAATTATCTAGAATAATGTTTTAATTTAGAATTATAGTACATAAAAATACTTGAGCTATATCTCTTTTATCATTTGTTAGACCTAGATGAATCGCTATATAATTTTATCTAGATATATTTAAATTCAAAATCTAGATGATCGTCATATAATTGTATCTTTTGTCTAAATATATATTTAAAACAAAATCATCTTCATTTTAACTAAAATTAATTTACATATTTTCATCATCTTCATTTAACTAATTCAAAAATCATCTAAACGCAGCATCGTACACACATAAAGAGACAGGATAGGGGATAGAGGAGATGAAATACCAGAAGAGCGAGACGATCTAGATAAATTTAAATTCAAAATCATCTTCATCTTATCTCTAAGATGACTTTCTATATCTTCATCTATCTAATTTAAAAATCATCTAAACGCAGCACAAATAAATCATCTTCATCTTATCTAAGATGACTTTCCATATCTTCATCTATCTAATTTAAAAATCATCTAAACGCAACATCGTCCAAATGTATATTAAAGACTATATTTTCTAATTATACTATCGATGTTAATTTCGATAATCGAGATGAAAGGACTCGGTTTTTCAATAATTACAACATACTCTGCGCGCAAACAAAAAATAAAATAAAATAAAATAAAATAAAAGCGCAATGTACAAGACAGAGAGAAAAAAAGAGAAACAAAGAGCCAGGATAGGGGATAGAGGAGACGAAATACCACGAGAGCGAGACGGAGCGAGAGGAGAGAGAGGGGAGAACGGGCGCGTGGCAGCGCGTGGTGCCAAATAGGGCATCAGGTGGTTGCGAGACGCCCGCGAGAAAAAGATCGCGCGCGCGTGCGCGCGTATACGTGACTGCTAACCGGGCGCGCACGCACGCGTCTCCGCACAAATGGCACGCGTCTCTTACCCTCCTGTGCGAGAAAGAGAGAGAGAGCGCGCGGTCTCTCACGTATGGCAGACACGCGCGCGCGTGCTGCGTGTTACAAATGTAAGAGAGAGAGAGAACCGCACGCGCGCGCATACCGTCCGGGATAAAATTACTTTCTCCTTTACGCGATATGTGGATATGTCGCGCTTATCTCGTAGGTGATATACCTCACTACGTAACTGCGTTATATGCGCGCGATCGACCGAACGCGAGGCTGTCCTTCCTCGACATGCTGGATATAATAGCAGGAAGAGATGAAGAGTCCTTTGCTCCGCGATCGATTATTCCTCGCATCATCCTGCGTGCGAGAGATCCCTATATCGCGGCATTTCGTTTACGTGGGCGTCCGCAGGAGGGAGACATGATCAAAAAATTGTTTTTTCATTTTAATTTTACTTTTTTATATTAAATATGTGCAGATAAACTCCAGTTCTTTATTTTTAAAAGGAAAGCTTAATTTTTTTTATCGATTCCAAGGAGGCAAATGCCTCCCTTCTGTATAAAATAATATAAAATTAAGTTATATCGATATGTGTGACGCAGTAATGAGAGATATCGATATAATCGATTAGTTATCGATGTAACGCGGTAATGACGGCTGTATAAGATGCATATTTGCATAAGTGAATACATCTTCTTTTTCTAGGATTTTGCGCGAATACGATTCGCGCGCATAATTTATATTAAGAAATGATTTGCCTCGCGTACAGTCACACCATATTTGTATATCGGTCACGTATATATGAGTTGTTAATAATTACCGGCGAACATCGTAATAGAAATAGTTATAACGACATTATAAGTATCCCGCGAAGTTTGCTCCTTTTTAATTCATGCAGCCAACATCGCGAACATACATATATACATTCAAAAAAAAAAATAAAAAAAACGCGACATAATATTGAGTTTTCTCACGTACGAGTTGTTGACAAAATTACAACGTAATTACAGGAGAAAAATAATTCACGCTCTTACAAACAACTCTTTTTAATTTATTCAGCTAACAATAAAGAAAACAGAACGACACCGAACGATAATAGCGCACCATATCTGAAAGACATTCTGAGGATATCCAGAGGACATTCTCAGAATGTTCTCTGAACATTGGGATATGTGTGCTATTAGGGATACCGATTTAAGAGATTTTGTCGAATGACGAAATGGATGTTTTATTTTGTAAGAAAACAAATTGGACAAAATTGTAATGTATTCGCTCTCTCCTCCGTTCTTTTCCCCTTTTAGTTCGCGACTTTTCCTCCATCTTCTGTCGCGTGTTCGCGCGTTCTCGAAAGTACCTCGTGGGGGACGAGAGTCGTGCGCCTCGAGTCTACGTCACAGAGCTCTACGTCACTGGTGAACGGGGTTGAGAGAGGAGTCTCAACGACGGAGAAGAAGAGGAGGAGGAAGTCCGCGGAGGGAGATAGGGGAAGGTGGCAGCGCGCGAAGAGCGAAAAGTGGTGGGGGTAGACATGCTCAGCTATGTTCAGACTGTACATACAAACACGTATATATACATATAGATACATACATGCGCACATATATATTGTATATACACACGATAAGCGTGTGCATCGAAATATATATATATATATATATGTGTGTGTGTGCATTTAAATACGTATATACACACGCGTATACATGTATACGTCACGGCGTGTATAAATACACGCGCGCATACGTACGAGGACGCGCGGCGCACACACGCGTGCGTAGAAGCGCGGAGGAGCGCCGGGATTGGCGGGGATTGGCTGGCGGTCGACTCGGCGCTTCCAAATATGGGACAGTCTCGGCGGTCCATTCATAAAACTACGGGGCGCGCCGCCGCTCGGCTCAGTTCGTGCGCGACCCCCACGCACTGCGCGTCCTCTGACAACTTCACTCTGTGCGCGAGCCAATACACCGAAGCGTACGCCTAACGAAGGAGAGTTTCGCAAAGAGAAAAAGAAAAGAAAGAAAAAACAGATACGAAAGAAAGAGAATACACAAAGAGAGAAGGGAAGAGAGAGAGAGAGAGAGGATAAATAGACAGATAGAGAGAGAAAGAGGGAAAAAAGAAAGGGATACAGAGACGCGACATAACATAACGCGCGCGATTCCGCGCTCGCGCGCGCTCGCCTACGCACACACGCTCTCGGATTGATAAACTGTATATTTGCTCTCACTCGCGCACAGATTCGGAGCACGCGTGGAGCTGTGACGGACAACCACGACGTCTTCTTCTCGCATTTCGCGTCGAGAGGTGAGAAGAGGAATTTGGTAATTTCAGCGTGTAGCCGCGCTTCTTCTTCTTCTTCTTCTTCTTCGTCTTCCTCCTCCTCCTCTCGTTGACGGTGCCCCAGGTATATATACTTGACCGAACCGACCGGTTGGTTGGCGAAATCCCATGCGAGACGATCGTATACGCGTAGCTTCCTTCCACGGTGGTGGTAATGGTGATGGTGATGGTGATTACTAGTGGTGGGTTGGTGGTGGTCCATTCCGCAACACCTAGTGTTGCCGGCCGGTGGCATCTGTTATCGGGATAAAAAAAAAGGCGGGAAGGAGGATATACCTTTCTTGTATCAGCCGGCGCGCAAACGGCTCTATCGAGAGCAAGAAACGCGCCAGGCACACACTTAATCGCTGCTACTAATCCCCTGTACTAGCTGAGAAGAGACTAGAAAGAGGGACATAGATTGGGGAGATCATTAACACGTTTATACGGGTCTCTAACATCGTCTCTCGCTCCGTCGAGAGAGAGACAGAGGAGAGAGGAAGCTTAAGAGGCTTAATTGATCAAAGCGTGATCGAGAACACGACAATATTCTAACCATAATAATTACGTTGAACGATACAACCGCAGGCGAGGACACGCAGTGCGGCACCGAGGATTCTGCCATCGCCCAGGGAGGCGACCCGCTCCAGAGGATGACGATGGACGGCATGGAAGTGGTGGGCTCGCAACCGCACGCAGCCACCAGCCCGTTTCTGCTTTCATCGCCGCCCCTAGGTCACCATCATCATCATCATCACGCGACCTTCAATCTGCAGACGGTGCAGCTCAGTTTTGACGCGTGTTTACCTTACAATGCGGCCTCCACCTCGTCCGGCTCCTCGGCCACCTGCGGCATCGGCGGGACACCCGTGACTTGTGCCAATTCGTCGTCGTCCACCAGCTGCAGCAAGATCATACCGACTCTCTCCCTGTCCTCCTGCGTGCCCTTACACGCCCAGCTTCAAATCAGCCCGAGCGACTCCTCGGAGCACAATCATGTTCGGCAGCAGCAGCATCATCATCAGCATCAGCAGCATCATCATCATCGGCTGGACGAGCATCAGCATCACTTGCACGCCGACGCATCGTCACCATCTGTCGACGCTACGGATGGCAAGAGACACCGACAGCCCGATGACGACGATAAGGGATGCATCAGGAACTGCAGGAGCGACATTCACGATTCCAACGATAAGGATAAACCTGGGGATTTAAACACCCGGTCACCACCAGCAGCGACCTACCCTCTTTCTTCGGCCCTTCCGCACTTGTCGAACCGCCACCGATCTCAGGTATATCTACATCAGCTAGTCCTAAGAACAGGAATTGATGCTCGACAGCGATTTGATTTAGTTTACTGTACTTTAGGTAACATAATTAACATAAAGGGTTTGCTCTTTTCAACTGGACTGACCGCACTAGTGTAGATTTTATTTTTTTTTTTACCCCACATTGCAAGGAAAGGGATCAAGCTAGCTCTAAAAACGAGGATTGATGATCGACAGCGATTTGGTTTAGTTCACTTTACTTTAGGTATTATAATCAACATAAAGGGTTTACTCTTTTCAACTGAACTGGCCGCACTAGTTCAGATTTTATTTTTTCTACTCCACATTAAGGAAAGAGATCAATCTTGAACTAGTACAGCCGGTTCAGCGGAAAAGAACAAACTCTTTATTTTGATTGCTTATATTTCGTCTTGGTATAATTTTGTGTAAAAAAGGACAAGGCAGAGTTGACATATATCTGTGGCGCGTTGTTGAATTTGAGAGAATGAATTGATACGATGCTATTAAATTTTCGCTTTCGGCAAAACCTTTCGCTTTCATTTTATACTTTTAGATTCACTGAAAAAAAATGATTAAATCAATAAATATTTATTTCAATACTGCCAAATGAATCATTTATTTGAAATAAATAAATGTGTTTTGTTTTGAAAAGGATTTTCTTATATCAAATAAATATTTTTCTTATCAAATCAATATCAGTTTCAAACAAATGATTCACATTTGGCAGCATTGAAATTAAATACTTATTCGAATCCAGTGAATTTTTTTTCGCAGTATACGCAAACTCTTCCTCCGCGCTTCGTGATACCCTGCTACCCCTCGAAATCTATATCATTCGCGGGAATTTAGACGTATTCGTCTAAATTCGCTCTTAAAGGAGATGCATAGTCCAACATCTGCGGCGAAGAGAGTGCCACGAGGTGCTACTGACGTTTATTACACTACCCGTGAAAATACGTAATATCGAAGGTCTCCGCCTGTTGGCGGATCAATACTCAACGACCCCGACATTCAGAGACCCTCCTCTTGAACCTGCACCACCACCACCACCACCAACGCCACCACCACCACCCCCTCTTCCTCTTCCCACTATAGCCCCTAGGTCGGTTCATTCATGCTTCCAGCCGCCCCTCTTCCTTCTACCCCTGTACCTTCGTCACCCTCAGTACCGTAATAACTTTCAGATAATTGCCGTATGGTATCTTTCCTATACGTGCATTATATTTTTTCTTCAATTTCCATCATTGTGTGAAATACATTTACTGAAAACGCACCTTTGCAATATTGTCTCCTCATACATTTGATTAAAACAAATGATGTATTATGCTATGGAAAAATAGATAGCGAATCGAAAAGTGCGCACAATGCTTTGTAATCTGAACGAAAAACACTTTCTCAGCGCTAGTTGGGACAATTATACATACAGAGAGAGGAAGTAACAAAACGCGGCAGGATGCAGACAACAGATAGAACCATTGTTAGATAAAGTCACCCCCGTATCACGCTGTTCTTCCTGTCGGCTCTTGGAAGAGAACACATATACATATATGTAAAAACACACTTATACACTTATGCAGAAAACGCAAGTCCTGTATCTACGAAACTGAGAATAACGAGACGATTTGATTGATATTTTACAGGCAGCCTGGCGGGTGAGGATCTTTCCTTGGAAGAGGCGACCGCGGAGGAGGACGAAAATGGCGCGTCCGCCGGCAGAGATCACCGACACCATCACCATCATCAGCAGGACACGCGAAACACGTCGAACGCGCCTTCCTCGAGTCCACCGTCGCGCCACCATCAAACCCAGGACGAAACGGATCGCTGCAACGTGTTGCAAGGTGGTGTAATTTTATACTCCTCACCGCATTCCACGTCCACCGTGCCCGCGACGAGCGTGAACATCTGCAACGTCCCGACGTTGACCTACCGCGGCGTTTTCACCACGACTTGCACGCAGTCCTCGCCCCTGAACAACCTTCAAGGCGAGCAGCAGCAGCAGCAGCAACAGCCAACGACGCAGGAATTGTGGGCGCCTTTACCCTCGCCAACCTTAACCTTAACGGGTCAACCGTTCCTTCACCCCAACCTTCACTCGACCGCGTACAGCGGCGAGACCGTCGAATTGCTGCAGGTCGATTCGAAGCCGCCACCTCCGCCACCCGGTTACCACGACACGCCAACTACTACTCCAGCGGGCTGGCTGACGGGTCACGAGGAGGCTTACGATCCCGGTCTCCTCTCTCACCATCACTCGCACACTCATCATCAGGAAGCGACGTTGAAGCAGGAGCCAACCGGCACACCCGGTTACAACACTCCTAGCGTGCAACAGTCTCAACCAGCTCAGGCGCAAGCTCAGCAACAACAACAACAACAACAACAACAGCAACAACAACAACAAGCTCGACCGCCTAATGCTGGCTCCACGGGGATCCAGTTGGCCGAGTACAATCCGAGCACGTCGAAGGGCCACGAGATCCTCTCGCAGGTCTATCAGCAGAGCGCGCTGCCGCTTCAGCTGGTCCCGGTAAAGCCGCGAAAGTATCCGAACCGGCCGAGCAAGACGCCGGTGCACGAGAGGCCGTACGCTTGCCCGGTGGACGGCTGCGATCGCAGATTCTCGCGCAGCGACGAGCTCACCCGGCACATACGCATCCACACGGGCCAGAAGCCGTTCCAGTGTCGCATCTGCATGCGCTCCTTCTCCAGAAGCGACCACCTGACCACCCACGTGCGTACGCACACGGGCGAGAAGCCGTTCTGCTGCGACCAGTGCGGGCGCAAGTTCGCCAGGAGCGACGAGAAGAAGCGCCACGCGAAAGTGCATCTTAAGCAGAGGCTGAAGCGAGAGGCGTCGCACGCGAATCCGAGGAGCCACCCTCAGAGCCACGCGTCCTCGCCCTGCAATCAATGAATTCCACGAGCTACAACGACGTTGAAGAGGCCCCCTTGAACGTTCCGAGATCTCATTATTACACTTGCGTCTCACGTTTCCGACAAATTGTGATCTGTGTCACCCTTTCTACCCCTCTGTCTCTCCTTCCTTCTCCTCTCTCGTGATGACCGATGAAGAAAACGCGGAGACCTTTAGACGGTCGAAACCGTCATCGACTGATCCGTCATTTGTCGTCGGCTCATCAGCTGTTTACGTTAATCTTATATTGAGGATGCATGATTGCATGCAGCACGGAAGGAATTTTTTGAAATTGCACGCTGAACAAAATTGTTAACTTGACTAAATTGTAGTATTTTGTTAATTGAACATATATTAGTATTTAAGTGAAATACGCGTTTTGTTGGATTTAATGTTAGATTTAATTTAAATATTATTATATATTCAATTAATAAGAAAATAATATTTAGTCGAAAGGATTTAGTCAGGTTGAACAAAATTTGTTTCAGTGCAGATATCGTATCTACGTAACGTAACTGTAAAATAAAACAATTTGCTCATTTTAAGGAAAATTGTTCGTGAATCAGAATAAGGATTAAACGTTGCCACATGTGTAGTTCTTATTCATATATACTGTGCGTAAGAACTTGGTTGTATTTTGAGATTTACCGTTGACTGAGACAAAAAACGTATGAGAATATATAGTTTATTCACTGTACTCGCAAAAAAATAATCTTTCTCTCGCGTCACATAGCGAAAATTTAAAGTACTTAAAATATATTAGAAGAGCATTTACAATCATCCGGACAAAAACAGACGTATTTAACCGCAACACGCACCGAATGGAATGGTTAATTATCAGAATTACATAGTAATCCCATTCTTAAACTATGAAACATTCTCTGCTTTACATGTACTTTGTATCTCTTAGCTTGTATCCAGACACGAGATATGCGAATACCACGAGAGCATGGGCGTCCGCAGAGGGGGTTTTTCACCCTCTTGGAATCATTTAAAAAATTCATTAAAAATCATTAATATTTATTTGCACATTTAATATAATATTAAAAAAAATGAAAATTTAAAAAATTAAATTTGAAAAAATCAAGAAAGGACGACAAAAAATCCTGCGGACGCTCATGGTCGCGAGATATATCTAGATGTCATTGAGCGTTGCGAGAGCATTTTCGTGCAATTGTATAACGTGAAATCGATACCATCCGCAGCTTCCGAGAATCATCATAGAGTGAAGCGGAAGAGGGAGAGATTGAGAGAAAGGAGGGGGCAGCAATGCGTTTCTCTCTCTCTCTCTCTTTCTCTGATTGCATACGACCGTGTATGAGAATGTAATGCTTCGTGAAACGATAAATATTATGTATCGATTCGTTCCATGGTCAATACGAACTCTCTCGGGACTCTCGGTATTTAAAACATGTGTCTTTTCCCCGTCAAAAAATTCATGTTTCATGAAGCTGTATCACTCTTATTAGGCAAGTCTATCTTACAAAGAAGGCAGGTCTACCTTATAGAAAGAGATTGTTGACAAAAGGTTCGCGGCAACGGAAATAGAGATATTTTTTTAAGTATATATATATTTGTATATAACTATAATTCTCACACACATACGTACATATACACACACGATCAAATCATACAAGAATAATGATCAAGATGAAAAAGTATTTATTTTTGAAAAAAAATTTACAACGTTGCGTTATATAGAAGATGTATAGGCGCTAAAAAAAAGTTCCTCCTCTCATAAATGTCGTTAGGACAAACTTGTGTTATTTGTTAAATTTTTGGTGCTACATGTACGCGACTCTGTTGCGCTCTACTAAAAAAGCCAGAGACAATATATTTTCCGTAAATTTCTCGATACGTTTTAGAGAAAGTTTGCACTTACATTGTGAATTTTGATCTTGCAGTGATCGCTATTTTTTAATCGTTCTCTCATATTTTATACAGGATGTATATAAATAAATGCGAAAAATTTTAGGAGACGTTTCTTTGTTGAAAATTAAGTTTTTATTTTTCTCAAATTTAAAAAATGAACTAAATTTCATTTTTTTAATTTGTCTGAAATTTTAACTCCTCACAGGGAGGGATATAAGAATATATATTTATATAAGAAATCTTCCTTAATTTTCGATAAAGAATCATCTCCCAAAATTTTACGCACGTGTTTAGATACACCCTGTATAAATTTGCGTCGTATCACCGTATTTTCTTCGTGCTCCGAACACGCTAAATCTCGGCTGTCTCCGTCAAATACTTCCAATTCTCACTCATTCTTGCTTCTCCCTTTTCATATTATTGTAAAAAAAGATCTGCAAATTGTAATTAGACGTGATTATCGTTGTTGAAAGAAATATTGCGTGTACATATGTATATAACTTATTATACATATATAGGTATATATATATATATATTATATATATATAAAATTGCTGTATGTATATGTAAAATCTAATGTCGTTCTCTTGCCATCTTTTCTGTTCTTCATTTCGCATTACTATCCCATACGTGTATACATATTCAGCAATTGTTAATGTTATGTATATGTTGCTCTATTTATTAACAAAATGACTATATTTCAAATGAATATATTGTTAATGTTAAATAATGATTTTTATTATTGTAATATTATTATTCAATCGTGCAATGCGTTACAGAAAAGATTCGTGGTATCCACAAATTACACTTGTAAAGTCGTATGCGCACACATACATATATACATATATATACATATATGGACACATTGTATAGGCGTATGCGAACGCGATGATACGCACTATTCTTTGACATTGTAACAAATTGTAAACGCGAAGTAACGAATACTTTTCTTCTTCTTTTTTTTTTTTTTTAACAGATAGTATTTTATCCTATCGCTAGATAAATTATATATAATTATTATACATATGGCGCTCCGAGTGCAATGCACACACATAACAAAAACTCCCGACTACCTGTATATTCGTGTTGTCATCATCGCTCCTGCATATGCTTTCTCTTTGCGAAACGGGTAACGCGAACAATCTCTTGCAACAATTATTAACAGAAATACAATTAACACTGACTCGAGGGCAAGTTGTTGATTATTTTCGTAACCCTTTCACAAGAGTTATATATATATATATATACAGACTTTTCAAAAATTATCAAAAAGATGCATTCTCGAAAATTTTATTGATAATAATTAAGCGTTAAATTAATGTTCCATTACAAATTTTATAATATTTTATTTACTTTTATTTTATACGCTTTTACATTTGCTTCAATATTTTTTATTTTTATATATTTATTCAAAGATCGCTTTTTAACTGATTGTAGAAAAAATCAGTTCTGGTAAAAATATTTCACTGAGTTTCAACATTTTTTTTTTTTTCAATGTCCTTTGCATTAACAAACACAAAATGTATAAGCTTGCACAGTATTCGTTTATATATTATAATCGTAAGCACATTCCAATAGGTAGTATTAAAACAAATTAATCTCTTAAAATTTGAAAATTAAAAATTTCCATTTAATTAATTGATTTGAATTGAAATTTGGATCTGAATAAAGATATTATTTATATAAAATTCTTTGTGTACTTTAACAAATTTCCTTTAGCAAAATTAAGCTCTCTTTATTTTGCTAATCGTTTAATAAAAATATAAAATATGAATTTAATTTTAATATATAAATATTAATACAAAGATTTCGACAGATTGTTGGATAGCAAATAATAAAATTAATTTCACTTTTTAATTTTAACTATACTAAATTGCGATATCTAATAAAACATTTCCCGAAAATTATAATACAATATTATTCAACAAAAGTTTGAAGGAATATTTCAATTTTTAACAGGATCTATTTTTATTTTATATATACATTCACGACACGCGCCTGTTTTTTATTCAATATATCCGCCAGAGTAATTGTGCTGTCAAAACATTATATTTTTAATAACAAAGTAATAAATGTTCTGTCATCGCATCCTTGACGAAGTGATCAAGTTCCCAGAAAGTCGAGGAGGTAAATCCCGAATAAGATGCATATGCGAATTTTTTCCAACCAGACGACATCGTTGTTACAAAATATTATTTTCGGAGCAAGATATTCGCACATTCATTCGTAGGCGACGGGTTTCGCGGTTCGCGACTATCGATCTCTCGAATATTTTGCACGGTTTCGGTAGCTCTCGGTGCGTAGAGAAAGAGACGGAGCGAGCGAGACGCGCAATACAGCCACTATATATAGGTATACAGGCGCCTATATAAGAAAGACAGTGCGCGCGCGAGAACGGCGGGCACGAGTGAAGCTGAGAGCATGTCTATAAATAGGACCGAGAGCGAGATGAGGCCTCCTCTGCACTTCGCGATACCTTCTTCTGCCTCTCTCCGTCTCGCGAGAAATCCCTCTGCGCGCGAGAGGACTCTTTCTTTTTTTTTTTTCCTTTTCCCTGCAACACGTCTCTTTCTCTCATTCTCTTCCTCTTTTTTTATCTTCATAGATATCCCGAGTTGGGACAATATCGCTTCTTTTTGTTTTTATTTGCTATTATCTTGTTCCCTTCGATAAAATGTTTCCTGGCAATTTAATATGTAAAATTCTTTTGGAGTTGGGAGATATTTTTATTGTAATCATTCTTCCTTTTTTTTCATCTGAAATAAAATAAAAAAAAAAATAATAATAAAACATTCTTTATAAAGGAAGAATAATCTACATTTATTTTTTAAACAAGTGTCTCTAAAATGCTTTTTATTATATTCATATATATTTTTTATCAAGCTATGAGTAACCCTATAATATATCGTGTCTGATTCGAAACAATTCGGTCGATTATTATCGATTAATAAAACACGTGATGTCACGTGATCTCACTTATTGTCAATTTTGAATCGAGGAACTCGAGAGAACATTTGCTCTTCCTTAAAAAAAAAAAAAAAAAAAAAAAACTAGAATTTGTTTTGCATATTTAATATAAAAAATGGAAAATAAAAAAATTTTAACCATGTCTGCCTGATGAAAAAATCCTGCCCATATATGATGACGTCATACACAACTCGAGCTTATATTTTATTAATCACTATTTATCTTACCGATTAAAACATCAAGATTTCAATTATTCGGGGTGATATTTTTCGGGATTAGCGGCGTTGATATATTTAAAAAAAAAAAAAAAAAAAAAAAAAAAACGCATCGGAGCGCGGGGTGTCGTTACTCCGCCACAGCATCCGCGAGAGACCCTGGGCTCTGGGGGTTAGGGTCACGTCATGGAGAATGAAAGAGTGGAGGAGAGGAGCGAGAAAGAGAGAGAGAGTTCATTGAGCAACGGCACGTGTACGCGATAGAGAGTATGCGGCTTCGATATGAAGTGGGATAAGGGTGGGAGGGAGCGCGCGGTGGAGTAGTAGGGCGAGAAAAGGGGTTGCCAAGCGACCATAACCGAGCGGGTTGCCCTTGGCGACTAGTTGCGTCACTGCAGCGTCGCGTGACGTCACGCGACGCCACTGCCCTTGACCGTCGAGACCGACACTGGGGAGAGCGTCCTGGCGCGAGCCTGATGCTCGCAATTCCTGTCCTGTCTCTCCCACCCCCTACCCACCCCTACCCACCCCCCGCACTTCCTGATTCTCAGGATCAAGTCTATACATAGGAACAAACTATAATATGCGAATATATGTATTCAGTTGTGCTTGCTGTTATCTAAATCAAATTATGTAGATGATCATCTACAGATGAAATTTTTTTTTTCGCGTTATATCTTATCTTTATATATATAGATGATAAAAATATATGTATTATCTATATGTGTATCTTAGATGAAAAAAAAGTATTAGCTTTATTATTAAATTATCTGGAATAATTTTCAGATAATTTTGGTTTAGAATCATATAGCACATAAAAATGCTTAAATAGAGTAGAGCTTAAACAGTAAGCAATAAAAATATTAATATATGTATTTTTATATCCCTTTTATAATTTACATCTTTTTTTATAACTGCGTTTACATATAAGCAGTCTTAAAAAATATTATCTAAATGAATCGCCATATAATTTGATTTTTTATCTAGATATACATTTAAAACAATTTATATATTTTTATTCTATCTAAGATAAATTTACATATTTTTATCTTATGTAAGATGAATTTACATATTTTCATCTAAGATAAGTTTACATATTTTTATCTTATCTAATAAGATAAATTTACATATTTTTATCTTAACTAAGATAAATTTACATATTTTTATCTTATTTAAGATAAATGCACATTTTTTTCTTATCTAAGATGAATTTACATATTTTTATCTAAGATGAATTTACATATTTTTATCTAAGATAAATTTACATATTTTTATCTATAATAAATTCACATATTTTTATCTTATTTAAGATAAATTTACATATTTTGATCTAAGATGAATTTACATATTTTTATTTAAAATAAACTCACATATTTTTACTTTATCTAAGATAAATTTACATATTTTTATCTTATCTACGATGAATTTACATATTTTCATCTCATCTTTATCTAGCTAATTTTAAAATCATCCAAGCACGAGACTATATATATATATATTCGTAGTGTCTTGATACGCGATTTGAAATAGCATTAACGCGCTCCTGCCGGCGCTATTTTCGGAATTACGTGTCTCGATTATTGTTACGGCGATATAGAGTCGCGAACGGCGATATATGTGACAAGCTCGCGTTGCGAGCAGTCTCTCTCGGTAATCGATTGACGCGAGTTTACACATCGTATGCAATATTTATAGAATGACGCGCGCGAAGCTTACTTAACACACGTAATGGACTTATTTAATACAATTTCAATGACGGCTGTTCATCGGTTCCTATATATCATATATATTTTCTTTTATATTTATTATCACCGGTGTCGATATAAAATCGATATCCAAGTTCTTTTTTTTCGCAAGATTATTATTAGAAGTATACATATGTATAGTTATATCGGCACGGAAATTTTTCAGTATGCTCCTTTTGCATTCTTCTGCATAAAAAAATTTCTTGTCATTTTATTACATCATAATAAAATTATGTAATTAAAACGAATTTTATGAAATGGTTTCTCGCTTGCAAAAGTGTGTCTAGACAATTAATGAAGGAGAAAAAAAACCATCAGAACAATAATGTCCACTCTCGTTCATATTCTGCATCAGATGCAACAATAATGGAGTGCACATTTTACATTATTTTTTATTATTGTAATATATACTAAAGATTAAAAAATGTCTGTATGTGCTTTAAACAAAACTGCTTTAAATAAAGCTCTCTTTTATATTAAATATCATAAAATATATCTATTGTAAATAAAAATATTCATTTTTGTTTTGACATTTTGTTGTTTTATGATTGCAAATGTAACAGATATTAAAACTCATTATTGGATTAAGAAACATATGATGCTCAAATAAAAATAACCGAATGTTGTCTTGTTAATACCGCCGTTCCTTAAATCCTACTTAGTGGAGACTCAAACCCCATTTAACGGAGAGTCGAACCCTATTTAGCAGAGATTCAAACCTTTTTAGCGGAAATTCAAACCTTATTTACTGACGATTTATTTTTCGGGAAAATTTGAATTTTGAAAATTCTCTACATTACAATCGTCGTACATCTTCGATTCACAATTATTACTAAAGTTGACAATTTGTTAGAATTCACATATAATTATAATTAATGCATTTTTACGCATGTTCGATAAGGTATCGGATGAAATATATTTGACTCTAATTAAAATTAAAAAAATAATTATTGTTCTTAAACATCGCTACAAATCTTTAATTTTTAATTGAATTTGTTTTACTTTGATTCTTTTATTTGATTAAATAAATATATTACGTGAACAATACATTTAGAGATATATCATTGTGATATACCTATAACAGAAGGATATCATTCAAAAATAAATATATATTGCTTATATCTCTTTTATAACTCTAAGATAGAAATTATATATTATTTAAAATCGAAATGATACAGAATATGATAAGCATGATTTTATTTTTATATATTTCGTGCAATTAATTTAGAAATATTTTAATATTCGAAGTAATATTTAGATAACTGTACAATTAAAAATAACTAACAAAAACGTGTATCAAAATGATAAAATTTAATCTACGATGTAAAACAGTAGCTGCAGTCTTACAGCAATAAATGTAAAATATCATGAATTTTTCAAAAATGATAATAATAAATGTTACAATTCTATTAATTTTTATTCGAATAATTACATATTATTAATAGTTATTCCGACGATCATCTAACGGTATAAGAGCTTTTATTAATTAACATGTGACATTACTGTGTTTGATTTCCGATCAATCAACTTTGAAAGTAAAGCAACCAATTAATAAATATGATCGACACGTATTACATGTACGATGATTTTTATGATGCTCAAATTTTGGTGATCATGGCGATAACGTGTATGATTACATGAATGATATGCTATGTCCGGAATTTGCAAACTATTAATATAATGAAAATTATAAAAAGTCTATTAACGAAACTTGTTAGGCTTGACATAACATCTGTTGTCATCGAAAAATTTAAACAAGAAATTTACATTTAGTTAAACATTTACATAAACATTTAGTGAAGGTACTTTTACTTCGATAACAGAACTATAAATTTAATGAAAAATTATATACATTTTACAACCGAACTAACACAATTTATTATAAATTTTATAGATGTAACATCATGTTACATGTAACGTATATGTTAGTTGTAATTTCCCACTCATAGATGTAACATTTTTAATATAACATATATTACATTGAAGTCATATTGTCATTATATCCCAAGATAGCACTGACTTATCAATACATCCATGTGCTATTTGGTATATAATTACAATATAACTACAATGTAATATATGTTATATTAAAAATGTTACATCTATGAGTGAAAAATTACAACTAATATGGATGTTACATGTAACGCACACGTTATATTACCTGTTACATTCCGTTTTATTATAGCAATGTAACAGTTATATATCGGTGTTTGCTGGGTAATTTCCATTATTCTTTTTTCAAAAGTAGTATATAAAACTTGTATGCTTCAAACACACACACACACACACAAATAAAATCATTTAAATTGTTACAAATACTTTTCTAATCAAAATACGCAAATCAATAAAATTTTGTATATGAATTAAAAGATATGATTTTACGTTTTGTTTTTATAATTATTTTTTATCTTAAATATTCGTTTATGATATTTTTATATCAGTTTTATAATATTTTTAGTCATACAGTATCATGATAAAATTTATTTCTTCTCATTTTGGTCAAATAAACAGATCATATATTTAATCTATCAAACAATTTATATTCTCTTTAAAAACAAATTATAATTAATGAAATATCAATCCCCTTATGCAAGATAATGCATAGATCGCTCACACAATTTAATAATTTTTTTAACTTCATCATACATGGTTTAAATAGTGTAAGCAATATAATGTTCTAGCCGATATTCCTATTCGTAAACATATATAAGGAATAAGAAAAAAAATTACTGTTGGTATATATACCTAAGTTGATATTTTCGATAATGTTTTTGTTTATGATTGTTCAAAAAGTTCTTTCCAAGAGCAATTATTAACGTTACGACTCTCAAAAGTTATCCTCATTGTTTCGACAACTTCATATTGTGTGGTACAAATTTACAAAGTCTCTTCTTTCTCTGTTCGAAGTCAATAAATCAAAGTTTTGTGTGAAAAAACCTTTTAAATATAAATTATAATATCAGTTGGAAAGGCTAACAGAAATAATAAGAAACGCACTGCTTCGGTTAAACAAAAATTTGAAAGTGTCATAAACAAGATATAGTGATACAATATATGAAATGGCTGCAGAATATAATGTTTGTCGAAATAATGAACGTTCTCAAAATCCAGTAAATCAATCAATCGAACAAGAAGTAGATCTGGACAGAAAAAGTCATTCTTATGATATCTTGGAGAGCGAATTATATAAATGGTTCCGACAGTGCAAAGAATCCGGAAATATGGTTGGATATCAGCAATTTCGGACTAAAGGATTCAAACTTATGAAAAAGTATGATGCACCAAAAACATTTGAGGCCAAACAGGCGTGGCTGCGTCGTTGTATGAAACGTTTGGAAAAACTGGAAGAATCTGCACGCGAAAGTGATCACATTAAATCATCTGCTAAACAATTTTCAATTCAAGAACTCACTCATCAATTGGGGCAGGGGAACATTAAAAGAGATAATGTTTATATTATGTTCACAAAACGATTCACATGGCATAGATTTCTTACACCGAAAGACCAGAAGAAAATTAACATACTAAAATTAAAAGGCTGCCTAAATGTTACATTTTGTACAAATATTACAGGTGACCATAAATTACCACCATTTTATTTTTATGACTGTATTTTGAAAAAAACCCCTAAAGATTTTAAAAAAATTCCTAATTTATGTACATCAAAAGATAAAATACAAAAAATTCTCACAGATTGGTACAATAATCATTTTGTGACATTTGTGAAAAAATGTCAACAGAAAACAAATGTAAGCGACAAAGTGCTTTTAATCGTTAATTCTTTCGAGATGCTTCTTAAAGTTCATGCAAAAGATATCACGCAAAATGACAATTTCGAGATACGGTTTATTATAGAAAACACGTTGCTTTCTGTAGTAAAATATATTAATAAAATAATAAGAACAGAATGTAGAAAAGTATTTCAAGATTTTTGCACATCTTACGATATGAACATTTATATTACAACGATTGATAAGGCATGGGATAACATTCGGTCTGAAACTGTCGAAACATTATGGAAAAACTTATCAGATTCTTGTACAAAAAAAATTATTAATGTAACTGAGGAAGATACCACTCTCAAGGAAATATCAGCTCAAGTAGAAGAACCGAAAAATAAAAGTGTTGAAGAATACAGAGAAGAAGTTACCCCTCCAGATGATATAATAGAAGATCTCAATTCTCATTCAGAAGATGAAGAAAAAGAACATCAAGAACAACAGGATAATGATAAAAATAATGAAGAACTTACAGGTAGAGTAAATATAATTTTTATAAAATTAAGGATTGATTTAAATAACGATTGTATTCTTTCAGATAATTTCACAAAATATTCGAACTCTGCCCAAAAAATCGATGGAACAGACGAATGTCAACAACTGGAAAGCACAGGATCCGCACATAACATTATAAGCGTGGAAGAAAATAAGCAAGCCAACTAATGAAGATGACACCACGATTGATAGTACGATAGAATTAACTTTACACGAAAAGATTTTTAACGCGTTTCTCTAAATATTTGTTTGATAAAATGTAGCTTTTGATGAGTATTTTTAACACAATACATAAGATGGAATATTAAAATTTTATATAGAAATATAAAAAACTTAATATTTTATCTTTAATGTTTTATATTTTTCTTCTTATTACTTTTTAGCTGTAACTGTCAAATAAACAATCAATATTTCTTGAATAATTTTAATAAATTTAAATATAAATGATGATGTATTTTGTTGACATAAATATAGCTAAAAAGTCGAATTATTTATAAGGACTTCTATATGTTGGAAATCAATTTCTAGAAAATTAAAAAATTTTAAGAGCATTCAATTTACGTATTTTCTCTCACTTTTAATCTTCTTCACACATTCAGTAAATAAAATATATCAAATTGATTAAGCCATTAAGATATCAAATGATACTTATTTTGGACAAAAAAATATAGTTTACACTTTTTAGTAAGAAAAAAATGTTAGAGAAATTTTAAATTATTTTAAGAAGCTTGTTATTAACTAAAAAATATTTGAAAAATTTTTCTTAAACATTTCATGTGTTAGAAATTAAAATGTAACATATTTTACTGTATTGCAAGAAAGCTCTTAATGTTTAAAAGGTATATTACTTAATTTGTTGATATTTACATTTTTCGAATCTTTTCTTTATAGCTAGAATTATATATATGTATGTATGTATATATATATATATATATTATTGTATATATATATATATATATATATATATATATATATATCATATATATATATTTCACAAGATCAAATTAAAAAACTGAATTTTTAGCATATAAATTTTTATGAATTTTTCCTCTTAAAATGTGGAATTGTAATTTAACAAATAGCTATAATAAGAGATTTTGGTTGACGATCATATTGACACACACACACATATATATTGTACATATATATGTATATATATATATAATGGGTTTGTATATTTTCGCAGCACTGCTACAATAAATTAGAATGATATAAATGTGTATATATATATATATATATATATATATATATATATATATATAAATCTAAATCGTAAGAAGACGTGAAGAACCAAACGCGGATGTTCCCACACAACACATGGACGTAATTACAACATAATTTGGATGTTCGAAGCGAGCACCAAGGACATCCGATGGACGTCCCGTGTACATCCTGTGGATGTATTAAGGATGTCCTATGTTCCGCCTAACAACATCCATAGGCTATAAATGGGACGTCCAGCGGATATCCTTAGTGCTTACTACGGACATCCAAAGTATGTAATTATGTGGATATAATGACTGCATTCAACAGAAAAAGAGCACAATGGCCAGTATTCATAGTCAGATCTTATATTTAAGATGTCTTAAGATCTCGTTCAACCAATCAAATGACGTTATACGGCTATTTGATTGGTTAAACGAGATCTTAAGACGATCTTAAATATAAGATCTGACTATGAATACCGGCCAATGAGTGCTTATTAATTCTTTAATGTGATTAGTTTCTATGTTTAGATCCAACGAAGAACTAAAGGAAATAATCACATTAAAGAATCAACAGTCGCCGCATGAGCTGCTTTTTCTGCTGAACGCAACAAATGTTTCAATAATGCTCATTGAAAACTATTAAGACCATATTATATATTTAGATAGTTAGAATTTATTTAAATCAATAAAATACATGTATATAATTTTTGCAATATTATCTTAAGTATACTACTTTCAGCATTATAACCAGTAGCTCATCAAAATTATCAATATGTTTATTTATAAAATTTATGTTAGTGTAACAAAAACAAAATAATATATTACTGACGTGCTATTTTTTATATGTTCACGCAGTTTACTTAGTATAAAAAAAATTAAAATAAAAACTCCAATTAAAGTGTTCAAAGTTAACGTATACAATTATGTGTAAATTTTTATAAACTTTCAGTGTTTTTTGTCAATTTAAATTCCTTTATCATTTCTAGAGTAGTAAAATATGAAAATAACCCATGCATTACTGTTTTCAGAATTCTAGAGTACGTTATATAGTTCAATTTTTACATCTGTGAAAATTTTATCATAGAAAGTTTTTAATCAACACAAACTGTAAAATCTGAGGTTATGATTGTTGTCATTCAGTAGTATTTTGGCGGTGCGTCACTGACTTACACAGAATCCGGTATTATTGATATTTTCACTAAGACTTTTCTATATATTCTCTGCAATAAATATCTCTTTGTTCAATAACACGAGGTATGAGAGATACGAGCGGCACACGAGAGCACGAGCACGAAACATGTTGTGACACGTGAAAACCCGGCCGACCAGGACATGCGCAGCGCATTGCGCACTAGCGCCTAAAATTATCAGGATTAAAAGTCACTCTAAAAAAAATTGTAAAAAATAAAAATTATTGTAAGAAAATTATAATTAATAATAATAATAGAATTAGAATCTTCAGCTCAGACGTCCTCACAGAACTAAACGGAGGATGTCTACAGGACATAAAATAAACGTCTTATTTTGGATATAAAAAGACACAACCAAAATTTATATGTATTAAACGAATGTTATCGATAAAAATTAAGTTTTCAACTACAGGGTATACATATACTCGATATATTGTAAGATGTCCGGAATATGTTTTTTAAAGTCCTACAACTGTCCATCGCAGTTGAAATTTTAACAGGACGTCCGACTAACGTACTTTGGACGTCCCACAAATGGGGACATGTGAGGACATATATCGGACGTCCGAATAACGTACTTTGGACGTCCCACGAATGGGGGACATGTGAGGACATATATTGGACGTCCAAAGGACGTACATGTGTTGTGTGGGTTGCTATGGAAACAAATCGTGCACAAGGCACATATTACTAAATAAATGTATATATTTTTTCACTCGTAACTTATTGCACCAATGCAGCAATGCAGCGATAACGAACAAATCCAATGTATATTGTATATATGAGAGTGTAAATCCGTATTATTTTTAAATGACACACAGATAATAAGATGACTTATTATAAAATGATCTTTTCTATAGCGTATTCTATTTATCGACTCTGCCCGATTCTACCTATAACTCTACCCGACTCATCAGTGTCGAATCTAGTTTTTCGACTTCGCCAATGATAATCTACTTAAAAATTAAATATTCGATCTGAAAAACTCGACTTAGAGTCGGGTAGAGGCGACAAATCAAATACGCTATAGGTCGATTCCTGTAAAATTTTAAAAATAATAGTTTTTAAAAATATATAGGCAAGATTTTACTGATTATATACATGTGAATATTATATTTTTTTTTGCCCGTTAAAAAGAACGAAATCATAAACAAAAAAAATTGCACGAATGCTCATAAACATTTCCAAATAAAACAAGATTCTTCTGATTATATACAGAATTTTATTATAAATATATGTTACATAACATAACATAATATATATATTGTATACACACACATACACACACACACACACACATATATACATAAATACATGTGTATATATTAATTTTATAAAGTAATATATATATGTTAAGTATTATACATATTAATATATAGACAAATTATGCAAAATTGACAACAAAATTTTTATTTACATTTATATAATTATATATTATATATAATATATATATATATATATATATATATATATATATATTATATATGTATTTAATATTTTGTATATATATATGTAATACAGATATATGCATATATGTATTTATGTGTGTGTATATATATATATATATATATATATATGTGTGTGTGTGTGTGTGTGTATGTGTACGTGTGTGTGTTATACATAAATATATATTATTATTATTAAGTTGTAGATATATTGTATAAATATATATTAAAAATATTACAACTATATATATATTTTTATTTACCTATTTATATGTATTATGATATATTATTATTACACAGATCAGTTTAATATAAATTCTGTTGAGAGAAATAAACAAAAATAATTATATTTTTGCAAATAATTTGACATTTTATATTTATGATTTTATGGAAAATGTTTTAATTTAATTAGAATAATGTTTTGCAATTAAGTGATATAGTATGTTCTCATATGTAATGAATAAAAATTATAAATACCATTATATATATATATATATAAGACAATGCAAATTTATTTTGAGGAGATTCCATGGAAAACTTCTAATCCTATTGTCATTTTCAAATGTACGTATAGAAAGCAGAATAATAAATAATATATACATATATGTCTCAATAACATAATGTACAGAAAGCCCTTAAGTTTTTGTGTATGTAAATTTTAATTATGCTATTATATATAACGACTCACAATTCATTTATTATTTGAATTTTTATAACTTCATTCGTATAAAGCTTTTTATTTTTTTATTCATTTTACAAACATTATTTAAATATCATTAGTCATATGCACGTCCTTAATATTCCATGTTTATGGAATATGTTATGTTTTATAAATTACACATTAATTATAAAAGTTAATAATAACTTATTAATAATTTTGTTATAGGAAATAGTATTCTTATCGTATCGATTGTGTAAAAACACATTTTTCGTATTTAATATATTCATTTAATTGAGTAAGAATCAAAATGACAAATATAAATTGAATATAAAGGTTTCATAGTAATTTTTATAAAGACAATAATAATTATTTCTTTAATTTTAATTAGAATCACATCTTAATTAGATCATATATATATATATATATATATATATATATATATATATATATATGTAGATAAATAAGCAGTTAAAAAATGCAATATTGCAATTTAGAAACAAATTATTGTAATAGAAAATATCATTATATGTATAAAATCCAACATTTATAACATTTAAAATTTTTATTTTTATAGAATTTAATTAAAATAATATATCTTTGTTTAATAAAGATATAATTACATATTTCATTATTCATTTTTTAGTTCTTCATCCATCTATACTCACTTTCAGAAAACTTATGTGTATATCGGATAGTGCAATGTCTCTGTCATTTGTGTACGTACAAATTATGTATTTGTTTTTGTTATGTATACTAATCACAATTATTTGCATATAGTAATTTATTTAAACTAAACAAATTTATGTTTTACATATCCTCAAAAGATTTTATATACAGGGTGTTCCATAAGAAATTGCTGAACAAAATATTTATTTTATTGATAAAAAGTAATGAAAAAAAGAGTGCTAATAATCACATAAAATCACATAAACTAATAATCAAATTTTTAATAATGCCAGATTTAATAGCAGCTATTAAAAGGATCGTCAATAACATAAAATGACATATTAGAAAAAATTTTTACGAGTTTTCATAAAAAAACAGAATTTTGTACAAATTCAAATAGTGCGCACTTTTCGAAAATATTTATCATTAGTTTACATATGTGATTATTAGCATTTTTTTATTACTTTTTTTCAATAAAATAAACTGATATACAAACATTTTAGTTATATCCATTTAAACTGTAAGATTTTCCACTTTCCAACACAATTTTTGTTTTCTCAATAACTGCATGCATTAAAAAATGACAGTTGATTAGATTCAGCAATTTCCTATGGGACACCCTGTAATTCAAAAGTGTATTATAAAAATTGTGAAATTAATATATAAAACGATTAGCGAGAAATAGGAAGGCATTGCTTCTCCAGCCATTTAAGTGCCTGAATATTTTCTGCACCTTGTAGAAAAGGTTTTAAACTCTTCAAACATTTTGCATGATAGTTATCTAAATATTCAATCTGAAATAAAATATATTACATAAAATATAAATAAAAAATATATTTAAATAACATAAAAACATATATATATACCTCCTTATCTGTAAGCATTGAGACATCAAGTAAACTGGTTTGAATAGGTACAAGTGTCACAGTTTCGAAAGTAAGAAAACCTCGATTTTTATGATTGTAAGGTGTCTTTGCAGAAACAACTAATTCGATATTTTCCAGTCTAATACCGAATTTGCCATCTTCATAATATCCTGGCTCTGTATTTAAAAATACACATACATACATATTTATTTATTTATATCCTCCTTACCTTTTTTACATAATGGCGTTTGTCTTGTATATTTTGATCATACCATTCGATAAGAACATCCCAGGTTGCAAACCTGGATCATCTGGATGTGGCTTCCATGTAATACCGATAGGCTCCTCGTGAACATTCAGGTAGGATCCTACGCCATGACCAGTACCGTGAAGATAATCAAGGCTGAAATAAAATCAGTTCTCAATCAGATAAAAAAATCTTCCTTTAATAAGATCTTTTTTCTGCTTCATTATAGTATCATAAAAAAATGTTTGCTATACCCAACGTTCCATAAGCTTTCGCGTGCCAATGTGTCAAGGTAATTTCCTTTGGTCTTTAAAGGAAATATCATTGTTGAAAGACGACATTGTCCTTTAAATACTCTGGTGAAACATTCACGTTCGAAATTCGTAGGTTCGCCAAAATGCAGGGTCCTCGTTACATCTGTCGTACCATCATGATACTGTGCGCCAGAATCACAGAGGTAAAGCTCTTGATCTGTAATAGGCATATCGGTCTCCGGTGTAGGTGAGTAATGAATAACCGCTCCATGAGGACCAATAGATGATATAGTTGTGAAACTTAATCCAACAAAATGATCCTGCTCCCTTAAAAAGGAAAAATAAAAATTCTTTTTACCATCTACATTTTATATTGCAAAAAATAATGCATTAAAATATCACATTATAAATTGACTTACTGTCTGAATTTTTCCAGTCGCGTCGCACCTGAAATTTCTGTAATTTGCTCTTTTGTATTCTTGATCTTATCTTCCAACCAGGCAAAATATTTTACGAGTGCTACAGAATCTCTCACATGCGCCGCCTTCATACCCTCTATTTCGATCGGATTTTTGATCGCTTTCATAACGCTGATAGGTGTAATGTCTGTATGCTTCTTGACTTCTCCGCAATCTGCGTGTAATGCATAACTGGACTTATTGCTGATCCAAATCTTATCTTGTTCCATACATAGATTCACGAGTTCTTTCATATAGACATGTATATCTGTGTAAGCATGAAAAATTGGGTCGACACCTTCGTTTTTCAATTGCTCTAATGCCTCTTGGCTAAGTCTACTTCTATCTACGAAGACATGTACATCTTTTGGAGTGAGAATAACATACGTAAAGAAAACTGGGTTGAAAGGTATATCAGATCCTCTCCAATTTAACAAATACGCAATCTCGTCCAATGCAGTTACTACAAGGATCATCACATTGTTCTCCTTCATAGCTTTGCGACATAATCTTACTTTATCCCCTGCACTTTGGCCTGAATATTGTAATGACTGAGGTAAGATTACATTGGCCGTAGGTGCTGGTTGTTCATCAGCCCATACTTTATCTACCAAATTTTCAGGAAGAGGAATTAAACAATGACCAGCAGTAGTCAAACTAGTATGCAATCGTGCCCATTCTGTATAACTTATTAGATTAGCGTCAGCTCCAACTGCAGATTTTGGAGGTAAGTTTGAAGCCAACCATGCAGCGATGGTAGGTGTGTCTAATAAGCCTTCTCTCATCAAGGTCCACTCCTCTGGTGGATCCAGTTCTGACAAGGCTTGCGTATAATATCTTCCATCTGTCCACAGCAATGCTCTGTCGTACATAACAACCACTGTACCATAAGAACCTCGGAATCCACTGATGAAACGTCGTCTCTGATCTCGCTCGGTCGAGTACTCTGATTGATGCGCATCCTCTCCATTAACAATCAAAGCCTGGATCCCTCTTTCTCTGATGCCACCAGCTTGAACATTCTTCATCAGAGCCCGCAGTTGCGTTAGCTTCCAAAGTCCATTCCTTCTTACCATCTGTTTTTGGGTCATAAAAAATACTTTATTGCTTTATGCTGAGACGATGAGACAACAAATATGTGAAAATATTTATATAAAGTTTATTTTTTCCTTACCTTGAAATATTTTTGGAACACTCTCTTGTTAGATTGATAAGATGCTGCGCCGTGGAATGATATGGATTTTTATACCTCCTGCATTTAAGTGTACAGAATTGCAAAAGTGTTATCAATAGAATTACAAACTCATCTTTTTAAAAGATTAGATATCTTATCTTTCTTTGTCTCTCTTATATAAAATATAATTTATGATCAATTGAAAACCTTTTTATCTCCTTTATGAATGTAGGTGAAAAATCTTTCAGGAAAAAACAAACTTCACTACAAACAGCAGTCCTTGGCACAAAACATATATATGTATGTATAAACAGAGAGAAGCCTTGTGACACATTTCACTTCCAATCTCGAATTATTCAAACCACGGATTTAAATGTCTGAGGCACGCTCTGGTTGATCGAAATTTTCCTAGTTTCCTCGCGTTTAACCAATCGGATACGTTTCACCTCGATTTAAGCCTAAAAAAATTGACCAATCACAGTCGAGTATGAGGGGAATACTTTACTGTGATTGGTCGATTTTTTAAGGGTAAGAGCTCAAATTATCTTTCGTGATTCAGGGGTTTATCTTATTATTTATTCTTTGCTGTGACGAGCGGTGAATTTAATTTGGCAGATTTTTGCGTCATCGGCAAAATAGAAGATGAAAATATTTATTTATATTCCGATACGATTCATATTTATTTATTTCATGTTCATTAGGAATAAAGCACCACTTGACTTGACGTTTCGGGCAACATTGGATTACGTGTTGCGCTTCAAATGAACACGATAGATTACGTCAAGTCACACAATGTCAGTAGATTTATAACTATCAGTTCCAAATCCTTCCCTTGTGAAACATCTGATATCCTAGTCGAATATTTATATATGTTCATTGGAAAAATAAATCATCGAGTGATATATATTGCGTACTTAAATATTTTGACGTTTGTAAAATTGATCTTGCATTATAATGAGGCCTAGCCAAAGAAGACAACAAGGCCTGCAGTATGGAATATTTTTGCTATGCATGCAGATTTTTAATTTTGGACTTGATAAAATACCACCTGCCACTTTAATTGGAGTTATTGTACAGGTAATTCTTTCTAGGTAGCAAACAAACGTCAAAACGTTATTTTGACATGTAATGTCATTTTGACGTTTAATGACGTCAATTTGCTACTTGGGCTACAAGTTACTCTAACTTTTAATTAGAAAGTCAGAAAAATATTTGTGTGCAACGTCAATTAAATGATATATGTATATATATATATTTGTTCTTATTTTGAACATTAATTTTTGAAAATGTATTTTAATATATTCAGATTATTTATTATATTTAATACTTGAATATATATATTTATTTTTTAGTCTTTGCTGTACATTGGATTGATACGAGTGCCATGGAACGCTGAGGAAGTATGCATATCAGCAGTAAAAATAATCAAATACAGAGACTGGCGATCGTTTTTTCTCTCAAATTTTGAACATGGATCTGATATGCATCTGTATTATAATATGTTCTCTTTCATTCTAAAAGGATCGTATTTAGAACCCATCTATGGGACAACAAACTTTGTACTGTTGCTTGTTATACTTTCCACTGGATGTAGCATTATGTATGTATCCATAGGATATATGCTGATGCAATTAACAGGAGATTACGGATACTTCACAACTTGTGCTATTGGCTTCTCCTCAACGTTATTTGCATTAAAAGTAATTGTATTGTGCGAAGAACGTGATCGATTGCGCAATGTCAGTGGATTTGTAGTACCGAGTAAACTATCTGTGTGGGTTGAGTTGATATTGATACATCTCTTAGTTCCGAATACTTCCTTTGCGGGACATTTGGGTGGTATCTTAGTTGGGTGTTTATATTCTTACACATTTATCGGAGAATTAATTGATAATTTGATACATATGATAACTGGTAGACCCATTATACATGAAGAAGATTTTTATAGAAAACGAAATACGTTATTTACCTGACACATTTTATAAATATTTGATATTTGTAATAAAAATATATATTAGAATAATTAAGATAAGTAAATTATTAATAAATACATGTGATAATTGTAAATAATTATAAATTAAAATGATTATTTTTGATTATTTCAAGAAATTATATTTTTCTATATTTTTATTTTCTTAAATATTTGTAATATTAATAAGAAATAAATATTTCATGTTGATTGCATGTTGAACCAACTTTACAAAACATACAAAACTCAGATCTCAAATGTATGTAATGAATGTAAAAAAAATAAAGATCTTTTTTTAAACTTTTTCCTTATAATTAATCCTTTCATAATTCGTATGAATTTTTAATGAAGATTTAATAAAATAAAAGTTTTAAAAATTATCATATGTTCTTGTTATAATAGGATTTTATATAGTAAAACATTTTAATAATGTTGTAGCATTTTTAATTTGCAAAAACAAATAAAAAATGAAAAGATAACGACTAGTCGTACAAAAAGAAGAGTAATAAGATTTGTTTATTACAGATGGTTTAATGATACTTACAGTGTACAGATTTCACTTACTTACTTGATTGTAAAATTTTATACAATTTGTACAATGTAATATTTGATATATCAGAGGAGCGTTGCGTCGTTAACATCCAATTTGCTAAAAAAATAAGTATAAAAAGTAAAAAATGTTCTTATCAAATACAAATACAGTAAATAGAAAGACTTACAGATTGCTTTATCATCGATTGGATATGGTATACCATAGAATATAAAATAAGTGCACATTTTAGCTACAGATTTAGTGTCAGCTTGTACCATTCCATTTTTCGTAAGATATTGTTTAAATAAAGATTTCATGTCTGTGAAAAGTAGAAAAAAATTAGTGGAGTATAACAAAATCACTATAAATTATAATGTAATGTTAATAACTACCATGCTCCCATTTGTTAAGAATAACTGTCGTTTTCTGTTTAATTGCTAGCATGCTTTCCAAGCTGAATAATAGATTTGCATCGTCTGCAGAGTTAATTCTTCTCGACAATTCTGTCGACAGAAGCTTTATTTGCCATATTGAAAAGCTATTTGGTTGTTCCTCGATAATTTTCACACTCTGAATTATACGTAACCATAATGGTATAAGATTTACTTTGTCTTTCGTAATGCATTCGTATATAATTATCGCAAATATATGAAGAAACTGTCGTTCGAATTCTGGCATTTTCCATTGAGCAGCTGTAAATTTAAGATGTTCGATAAAAATGTCATTATGTAAAAAACTGCATAAAATATATAATTGATATATTTACTGATCTCTTAATTGAGATTCGCATTAAGAATATAATTGAATATAATTTCATACCATTTTGTAACGAATACTTGATGTTTTCGGAAGGAGTGGTTTCTCGTTTGGACCATTGTAAAAAATATTTTATTATATTCAGCACAGTCTTATTATTTGTAAACGATGTAACGTACTCTGGCCGAGCAGCCCACGCAATTGCATTTTCCGTCGTTAGAGTTTGAGCCACCAAGCTTCTAAATCCCTATAATAAAATGAGAAGTATTAATATAATTTATTATATTATTTTTTATTTTATTATATTAATTATTATTTTATTGATGTTTATATGTTTATGCAATAAAAGCAAATAAAATATATAAGATATTAAAGTAATATCTTACGTGAGGATCTTCCATGTACGATAAACAGCCAGCTCTTTGCTTGATACTTAAAAAATCGTGTCTTTCCAGCATATTTTTTAATTGTTGCCAATTGTGGTGTTTCTCAAACGTAATTGTCCAGTATCTCGTATCTTTCAATTCAATTCTTTTTAAACTACATAATTGCGGTAATAAACAGGGTGCTTGCAGACTTATCTCTTGCCCTTCAGCTTCTCTATCAGTCTCGAATGTTAAATGTATCGTCGCATAGCAATACTGACCAGTATCTATGTCTCGTGGTAAAATAATGCGTGGTTCAGCTGCTAATACATACAAGTGACGCAACGCTTGTAAATGATATCTGTAAAATAATAAATTTAAATATCAAATATCAAAATTGCTACTGTAAGTTTATAATTTAGAAAATATATAATTTAAATGTGTTCATTTCTATTACTCTCATAACTTTAAAAAAAATATTGCTTTGTTCTAAAAAAACAATATATTATAGTTGAATATTTTTTGAAGATATCAGGGCAGTGAATTATAATGATTAGTGTTGATAGAATGCAAACCTGTTGTCATTGCTATGAGTTGGAAATTTTGGAAAGAGTGAAATTATAAGAACCGCCACTGCATTTGGACTATTCGAAAGAGTGTACTTTCCACCACCCAGAAAAAGAAGACCGAGGGCCATATGCGTTGCCAAATGAGATCCATAAGTGACAACGCCACTGGCAGGTCCTATACGAGTCCGTACGTGTCTGCATATTCTCATAATCTAGATATATTTTATACATAATATAATTTATATATTAAATAATCAATAAATTCCTGTCATGACTATAAAATCATTATAAATATTCAAACTTACATCTAAGTCACCAGTGCCTGCCATTACCACTGCGGTAGAAAGCAGAACAACATTTAGACATGTTTCAACAGTTGATTTGCCAGCCAATTCGGCTATAGTTTTATGCGACAATGCCATAAACATCTGAGCGTAATTGTACAAAGTCTTGAAAGCATTTTTATTAGCAGTGCCTGCATATCTCAATCCCAATGCCATGCAAGCACCAGCTATAATGTTGCAGTAAGCCTGACTGTAAATTGTATATTATTAATTAATACAATCAGATATATGTTTCTTTACAGAAAAAAAGAATATTTAAAAGAGCAAATGTTATTTTACTTTCTAATATCATCTTTGTATTTTTTAACATTTTTTATCTATATTGTTAAGTATTTTTGTCTATATAGTTAATGCTTTTTATCTATATTATTAAATATTTTATTTGAATATGTAATATATTTTTCTTTACAAACAAAAAGAATAATTAAAAGAGCAAACGTTATTTTAATAGGGAATAAAAAAATACAAAAAAGCTTTAAGAAATGTAAGAATTACTCACTTGATAGTTTCCAAATCCACATTCTGTGTAACTTCTGGCGTAGGTTTTTGCAATCTGTATTTATAAACGATATGAGGCACATGACTAGAAATCCACGCTTTCGTTGGTTCGATATCCTCCCATAAAATTAGCGACTTGGCGAGTACTCGTAGCATCAAAAAATCTGGCCTTACAAATTCTAATAAATACTGCGTATCGGGAGGTTGCATCCACTCGGCTACCGCACGATTTCCAGTATTGAAGTACATTAATCCTAAAGCTATCGTTGCTCCCGGGCTTGTTACATCGATATTTATCGAGTCACCCTCCCGTATTTGATAACTGCAAAAAGGTCCAATGTATTTGAATTCTTAAAAACTTGAACATTGAATGATAATGAATATTCGTAAATATTACATATTAATTTCTTAACTGGAATGGAAGAAGAAAGATAAGAGAGAAGTGCTATATCAATTTTATTATACCTAGGGGACTTGTATTTATCTTTTTGTGCTCCAGAGAATGGTCTTGAGTGTCCACCGACCATGTAATAGTGCAAAGTATCAGGGATGCTTGCAGGCACATCTGCTCCACCACCAGAACCAAGTATGACCAAGCCTAATGCCAGTCCTGCTGTTAAGGAATATGATTCACGATTTACACAGTTCTTCATTTCAGGCCCTGGAGGTCTACCTACAAAGAAACATTTTTTTCATTAACATATATTTTAATACATATTTTTTATTGTGTTAGAAAAATATAAGAAGAATTAGTAACCAAAGTAAATTAATTCATCTATATACATTTTTTTCTGAATTAAATTTTGTTTTAAGATTAGTATTTTTAAGTAGTATTTAAATATTTTATTTGAATATGTAATATATTTTTCTTTACAAAAAAACGAATAGTTAAAAAAGCAAATCTTATTTTACTTTCTAATATCATACTTGCATAGTTTTGATTTTTATCTATATTATATGTATCTCTTTAAATGTTTTATCACTTTTAAAATAAAAATGAGAAAAAAGTCTTAACGCTTGCAAATATTGGGTTTTGTAAAATGATGTCTGTCAGTGTATTATAATTACCGATTTCGGATAGTAAAGCATGTGAAATATGTCTGTGAGCAGTTCCTTGATACACAAGACCAACGCCCATTAATGCCGCTATTTGGACGTTCTGTTGTACATTTAATTCGATACTCGTCGGTGGCAGAAGCGTTTCCACGTGCAACGATAATAACTTAGTCATAGATACGTTCATGGTGCCGCGATGCGTCGCCGACAAGCCCAACAAGAGTCCAACGCTGATAACATCGTGACAATCGGCTAAATATTCGTATGTACTTAAAGGAGCCAGATTTTTCAGATGTCCATTTAAACCGAGAGCCATTAAAAATCCCGAGTGCTCTGCCCCGCGTTGAGTGCATGTACCCAGCTGCTGTCTATTATATACTATCCACGTGGAATCAATGTTTGCAGCATCCGGATGAACACACAGACCTGCGGCCACGCCGTTGTGAAATAATGGCCACATATTCATGTTTGGAACAACATCTATGTGAGTTAATTCGACGGTGGTTCCACGGGGAGGTGCCTTGCCTGATGAAAGCAAAAGATTCAGTTAGTGCTTCTCATTAATGAAATCATTTTAATACAACTACGAAAACACACATCTTCTTTTTATACTTCATAATTTTTGACATATCTAGTTTTCATAAAATAAATATATATTAGATATTTTATATATTCTAAATATATATTATATATTATTGTATACTATTAAATAAATAAATAAATACTATATATATATATATATATATATATATATATATATACTAAAAAGAAAAAGAAATAAAACAAAATATAAATGTAAAGTTTTAGAGTACCTGTTAAACACAATTGTGGAATGGGCAACTGTTCTGTTATCATCGGCGTAGAAGTTCTCAATGTAAACATGCCTCTAGCTACAGGTAGTGCCATTGTTCTTGTGCATAATGTATGAAGATGCCTTTCCTGCTCCTCTATAAATTCATGATCGCTTACATTCGATCTTTGTACTATCGCAATTCTTACTGGTTTTGACGAATTGAGTAATCTTCGCACTTCAGCGACTCTGTGATCCTTACTAAATCGTAATTTTAATATCTATAAAAATAGATAGAAGAAGAGTTGTAATATAAATAAAATAAATTGAAATAAAAATGTCAGCTATGGGAAATATTCTGTATAAAAAGAAAAAATAACTTATTGATCAAAACTATATCATAAAAAAATTATATAAAATATATATGTAAATAGAAGAGGAAACACATAATGTGAGAAAGTGTATGCATAAAAATATATACTGTATCATCAAACTCCATGCCGTCATCTTGTTCATCCTTTATCCCATAATCTTTTGTTTCGCCATCGATATATTGTAATTTCGATGATGGTTTCAAATGTTTATCCAATGCGGCTAAATCTTGACGATCTACGAGCTCATAAGCATGCGTGGGCCAATTTGATGGTGGAGATTCTCGACATTTATGCATAACATCTTTTATCATCAGGGATATCACAGGCGGCAATATCTCGAGATCTTCTTTCGTCATACCTAGAATTACGAGTTTATTTAAAATTTTCGGAGATATAGATAAGGAAAAATACAATTTCTTACAATATTTGAGTTGTAAAAAAATCTCTTACCCATCTCGTGATACAATAATATGATTCTATCTGTTGTAGGCCTTTCTAATTTCTTCAACATCTCTTTGTCAGACTTGCTTCCACTTTCTTGAACGTCGATGCGACTTCCGGCAGGTACAATTAATTTGATATACTTTTCCATTTCTATTACATCAACGCGATCTTCGTTCGCCACAAGTGCAGTTAAATATATTATATTTCTCGTTCTTGGATTAACGTGACTTAAATATGGAAATGTAGTTATCTGTATTCCATTCAGCATGTTGTTTATTGTTTCAAATATATTCGCTGGTTTTCGAGACATATAATTTGGAATTGTTATTTTCTGTAGATCCGAGTCACCAATCTGAGATTCTACGGTTTTTAAATAATATAACGATGGAGAATCAAGGAAATAATGATGAATGTACATCTCGAATTTCAAATCTATGCTTAATTGATACAGCAATTGTCCGAGCAATGGCAAACTTCCGGAAATAACGCTGTTTAATTTCAATTCCTCGTATAAGAGGTGAAGAGAAAATAAAACGAGCGGAAGATGTGGATACAGAACAGCTTGCGTGTTTATTTTGCCGATGCTATTCGATTCTGTAGCACTCTTCGGAATCGTGCAAGGGAAGCTGGATATTTTCTGACTTCTCAGCACGTTCGAAATATAAGCCTGGGAATTTTTATGTTCACTTGACTGCAACAGATACAGCCAATCGTCCGTAGATCCGCAATTGTTGGTCTTCTGTTTTTTAGGTAACACCATAGGACTATTACGTTCCATACTCTGATCCTTCTCGTTATTTTGTATTAAATGTAGCTTCTCCACATCGTATCCCAATAATGTGAACAGAACCACGAGAAAGAGATCCCACTCTTGCGCCGGTGAGAAATCTTGTGGACCAGGGGCATTTCTAGCTCCGTACCATTTAACTAATAACTGCATTGCTAAATCCCTTTGAAGTACACTTCTTAGTGTATGTAAACATTTAGTAACTAAAAAAGATATATTTATAATTTTATTTTGTGTGCAAACTTTGTAAAGTATATTACCTCTTACACTGACTTATATTCTTATATACATCAATAATACATTTTGTTTGCAATAACGTTTATTTACCTAAAGGAGATGTGCTGGATACAGGTAATGTTAAACGAAAGTATTGTTTCTTTCCACATTCCACGGTAATCTCATTGCCTATAGAGTCTTTCAACGCAAGAAAATTTGTATCTAATAAGGAGTTTTCTAAGAGTATCGGCGGACGAGCGCAATTACCACCTACGGGACTTAGTAAATGCATACTCTCTTCAAATTTAATTTCATGCGAAGGCGCACAGTTTTGATAAATTAAAGAACTTCGTTTCGGAAATGGGGATGCAAGCTTAGCATTATTACTTGATAAAAAGTAGTTATTGCTCATGAGATTCGACAGTATGCTAGATATATGTAATTTGCCCACATATGTAACTCCAGTGTATAATGCTATACCATTTGACAAATCTACAACTGCTATCATGTTCAAGTTCTGGAAAAAAATAATTTAATTATTTAATATTTTAGTATTATGTATCAAGTTATAATGATATAAAAAGAATCTAATATGTACTAACTGATAAATTAATAGCATCCTTGGCTGCAATACCTGTCACCATTCCAAAAATGATTTGTTGTTGTTTATTAGTCTTTTCTAATCTCACTAGAAACAGCTGCAAACGATTTGGAACCAAATAACCCAAATAACTCTGTCCAACAAGATCCGAAGTTAAGAAAACTTTTGATGCACGACCATAAACAATATCTCTGAAAAATTACAAATGTATGTTTAAAAGAAATATTAATTTTTTTCTAAGTTTACAATTATATGGAAAATTTAGGAAAAATGTAAATCTGTAAAATCAAGTTAAGTTTTCTTTCGAATTATTCTACTTCAAATATATATAATAAAACATTCAATTATTAATTTAAGAGTTCTTCAATAATATAAATAAATATTATAAATAAATGTCATTTATTTTGTTACTGTTAATCTTAAAAGAAATCATATTACAAGTTTAACTATTATATAAGCTTTGGTTGATTTGAATGCAAATAATATTTGCAAATAAATGAATAAATATCATAATAAATAAATAAAGTCTAGTTAAAATTTAAAACAGTTTATATTCTTATTTATAGTAAATTGTTTAAATCTATTTTTCTTGTTAATTTATCGAATATTAATAAATTTCTGCTTAAGCCTGTGCAATTAAAAATACAAAATGCAAAAGCTAAATTAAATGTGAATATTCATTACTTACTTTGATGCACTGAGGTTTTCTGTCCATACATGTTCAAGACAAACCTCAGGATATAAAGGTTTGCTCGCAATCGCAGCATCTTTCAACTGAATGTTGTTGTAACTAGCAAATGGATTGATTTGACTCGAGGTTGTCTGATGTAATCTGTTGTGATAGATGTTTAAATTAGTTGGTGCTCCAAGTAGAGGAGACAAAACTGCCGAATGCGTGGGCGATTGGCAACGAGAAATTGTAGCCATCGAGCTTTGCGAACGTGAGTGCTGTTGCTGCTGAGAAGGTGATGGTCCACCAGAATTAGTACTATAAGAAGTAGTACGAGATCCGAATGGAGTATTAGTCAGTCCTAGGCCCATGCCAGTATTGTTACTCATTTGTAAATTTGGAATTCCTGCAATATATTTATTCACATATCAATTTGTATATTCCAATTTTCTTTAAACAATCTTTTACTTTTATTATTTAACTTTACCATAAATATATTCGTGAGAAAAAAGAATTAAAAAAAATAATACATTTATACACATTATGCCAAAATTATCTTTGTAACATTCTATTATGCATATAATATATATGTGCTAGCAATTATATAAATATGTTTTTACCAAGAAGAAAGGGACTTAGATGTCCCTTGTTGGTGCAGCTTTTATTGATGGATAAATTGCTGGCAACATTTAACGATGACATAATTGAATGATTAAGTAAACTCGTGTCGTTACTTCCACAAACTAATTGGCATTCTTCAGCTAACGCTTTGCGAATTTTGTAAACTGAATGCAAATTGGATTTTGTATCGTATACGACTGCAAAGGACGGTTCCGAACTGGTGAATATAATTTGCTGGCTTGATTCATTCATGTACGACAGAGATCCTGAAACATTTAATTCAATTGTACATATACATTAAAAATTAATTTGCCTTTATTTTAAATATTTTATATGATTTAAATTTACTTTTCATATTTAATTTTTAAAAAATTATTTACCATGTTTAATAAGCAAAGGGCAAATCTCATCTAACGGATGCTTTAATGAAAAAGCTACAGGTAAATTATCGTTTTGAGTTGCTAATCTGCTGGTTTCAAATGATAAATACCTGAAAACAAAATATTGTAATTAAGATTTCAATGTTATAATTATGAATAAAATATAAAAATATAAATGTATTTTATATTGAATTGTCAATAAATTATATATACCTTGAATTTGTAACAGGCACTTGAGATTTTTCAAGTATAATTCCATATTTTGTGGGCCAAACGGCGGAAACCTAAGTTATAAATTAATATATATTTACAATTGTGACAAATTACTATTTTCTATTTAATAATTCCATTTAATTGTAATAATTTTGCCATAAAAGCTGCCATTTTCAAAAATATATATAATAGCAATAATTTTTCTCTATGATAAATTTCGTTTTTAATAAAGTTTATAGAACTGAGTTTTAATATTATTAAAATTTTTTGATATTTGTGTGTATGAGTTTTCGAATTTTATAAAAAAGTTTTCTTTACCTGAAATTGTAAAGTAGAAACATAATCTTCGCCGCTTTCTGTAAAAACCTTAAGAGTATACGAATCAAGCAGACAGATACAATCTAAAGATTTGTGAATGGACCCTTCAGCCTCGTATTCCTTGCCTTTAGTTAAATGATCTGGAATACTTGTGTGAAATGTACACCATAGTGCATGCTTAATATCCGTTTCACATGTGTAGGTTGCTTTGAGTACTCGAGTATTTTGACTGCCCTTGCAGTGAACGGCAACTTTACCAGAGTAATATAATTCTTCTTCTCCGCATCTTTTATTACTACGTACCGACCATGTCTCTTTCTAAACAAACACAATTTTTTCATTAAATATTATTTCAAAATAGATGGAAATGATGAGAGTAGTTATTAGGAGATATAATTTTTTTTAAATTTGATTTTATCAATGTGCTCATACAACATCTCTTTCTCTTATCTCCTTATAACTTCAGTCACATTTCTTTATTGCATTCTTAAATCTTACAGGAGATTTTTCCGATATATTTACTTCACTAAATCTTTTTAGTAGAATATTTTCTCTCGCAGGTGTTTGATTATTGGATAACTGCTGACTAATTAATGATCCAGGATGTCTTAAGATTATCTGTCGGCCACCTGGCGTATATTCCTAAAAAAATATATATTTATATATATAAAATATCAAATATATATATAAAGAATGTATATATAATTATTACTTTATTAAAATTAATTTAATTAAATCTATTTTTCTTGTTGTTCTTTACATAAAACAATATTATTTATATCATAATATTAAATTAGATATAAAATCAGATTTATAATGATAATTATTTACCCAATATTATATGGCATTAACATAATTGTAAATTATTGTTTAAATCAACCCTTGGGAATACAAACAAAATGAAGAGAGAAATTTTAGTATAAATCAAAACATAATTTAAGAATAATTAGGAATTCTAATTTATATTGATATCATTATTAATCTAAAAAATATATTTGCTTAACTGTTTCAATTATATAATTAATATTGACAAATAAAAGATAATTGAATTACAAAATAACATCCTTACCACCGGTTCTGAGGCGGCGATCATCTTCTCCCTGGTTTCATCCAGATTTGCTGACTATATTTACGAATATGCAAAGAATCAATGTTCGCTAACTTTTTTTTCTTAAACAATGTTGTTGTAAAAAGAGTTTCTCGAGAAACAAATTCTTTACAAATCATCAAAAACTATAACACATCTTTAGAGAAACTTGCCTGAAAAGCCACATAACCTGTCGTAACATGTTTTGTATACTATATACAGGGTGTCCCATTTCAATTGACTCCACCTCCAAAAATATTTATTCACTTCATTTCGCATCTTATAACTCAAAAAGTACTTGATACAAAAATATTTATTATAGCGTTTTGAAAAGCTCTCGAGACGAGCTACAAGAATATGCAATAAAAATGCAGTTCTCCGTTTAAAAAATTAAAATGATCTTGACCTGACCTTGGCAATGCCATCCAAAGTCAAACTGATAAGGCCAATAAATAGACTCTTCGAAACCCTACAACTTTTATTTCAAACATTTTTTTCTAAAATTACAAATAAAAATTTTTAGGAGTAGTCAATTAAAATGGGACACCCTATATATACTTACATACATATATATGAATGCATATATTTACACACTCAATCCACACAAATTTCAATACAATATACAATAACACAATTCCAATCAAATAATTTTTTGACAGTTAATCTGACAGCTCAATAATTTTTTTTTTTTTTTTAATATTTTTGTACATACGTAATTATTTATTGACAATTAAATAAATATATACATTTTTGACAAGAAGACACACGTGTGCGTGATTTTAATTTGGCGCACATCACGTGGCATGCACCTAGTTTACAGCTTTCGGGAATAAATTCAGACGGCGCTGTGTGAAAATCGTGCGTTTTTCTCCAGGAGAAGAGGAGTTTGTTGAACCCTTGCTGCGCTTGTCATCGTATTGCGTTTTCCGTTTGCCGTTCTGAAATCATCTTGGTAATTAACGAGTGCGGATGCATACAGAGGAAGGCGTGTTATGTGACGTCTTATATGCGTGCAGTTGAGACTCGCGATAAATGGCCAACTCGCAGGACGCGATCGACTGGGAAGGTACGCATTTGACGAGGAAACCCTTTACTTGTGTTATTATTCTCGACCTTTTGTTTACATTACGATACATCGCGCGACAGTTTCTTTCGAAAGATATACTCCTTTTATTTAGAACAAACGCGTTCTTAATTAGACACTTGACGTCATCTGCTCAGCTGTCGCTCATGTTTTCGTATATTGCTTTATTTTTATCTGTCATTGCATTAGTAATGCAGTAATAATGCACAATAATCCTTATTTCTTTCCTTGAAAAGAAAACGCAATAATTCGCAATAAATAATTAGATAAAATTCATAAGCATACAGCATACTCGTTTAAAATTTTAATATTGAATATAAATAAATGCATGTAAAAAGAGCAGATTAGATAGACAAGAATATTTTTTATACCTTACATAAAAATTGCAAGAGAATTAGTGTGCGAGACTAATGTTGCCGGATGTTGTAGATCTCAGGAAACAGGCAAGACATCTGGAAAATGAGATTGATGCAAAATTAGTGGCATTCAGTAAGCTTGGTATAAATACAAGTACTAGACATGTTAACGCAGATGAGATTCCTCTTTTGGATGAGGAACAAGTATTTGAGAACATGGCATCGGAGATAGAAACGCTACTTTCCAAAGTAGGTTCTTTTCTTTCTTTCTCTTCTTTTACATATATCTTTAAACAGTGTAAACATATATTAATGATACTATTTGATACAGTTACTTTTTATAAATGAGAGGATGAGCGAATTACAACCGAATGGAGCAGCTATGCTGCATACGATGCAACGTCACAAGGAGATATTGAAAGATTATAAATTGGAATTTAACAAGATTAGAAATAATTTTATAGCTAGGAAAGACCGCGAGGATCTACTAGGCAGCGTTCGTAAAGAAATAGAGTAAGTAAAAATTGTCTGTTATTATAATTGTTATATGACATGTAATTTTGCATCGATAAAAATTAAATCACACTCATATCTATTTTATATAGCAATTACAAAAGTGCGGGTGGATTGAATCGACGAGAAATGTACCTCAAAGAAAATCAACATATTCATAAGTAAGTCTCAATCTTGCTTGATCAATGATGCTGAATAAGATTTATATTTTATTAATGTTTTATGTCAAACATTTTGTTTAGTATATATTACTATAATTTTTAGCTCCGATCGGTTGATTAACGATCAAATAAGTATAGCCATGGAGACGCGAGATCATCTGATGTCCCAGAGACAAGCGTTCAAACGTATACGAACCAAATTCAACGATATCTCCAATCGCTTTCCAGCGGTGAATAGTTTATTGCAAAGGATAAATTTACGTAAGAGAAGAGATTCCGTCATACTCGGCCTCGTTATCGGAGTTTGCACATTCTTGATGCTCCTGTATGCCTTTCATTAGACAAGATTCATAGCAATATAAAAAAACTTTTCGTTATCTAATGCTTATTTCAATGGAATATACATACATGTAACAATCATTTCAGTGAAATATGCATATACTTTAAAAGATATCATTGAATTTAATAAACATGGGGGATTAGTCTTGGTACATATAGGGTGTGCAAAATTCACGAAAGCCAGTGTGCAAAGAAAAGTGTATAGTTTTTTTATACTGAAGTGCAAAATGTGAAATATGCGATATATAAGTAGAATTTTAATCTATCTTTTAACATGTTAAGTTAATAAATGTTAAAATATATAATCTGTTCTTAATTGCACTTTTTAATTATAAAGATTTAGCTTATGTAGATTTAATTCCGTTTTAAGGTAGGAAGAAGACGCACAATTAAATCACATTTTTTTTGCGATTAACTTTTTTATCTTATGAAAAACTAGGACAATTTTCAATACACTTGCACATTTTGCAGTAAAATCATTGTATTATATTTCATATCTGTATAAACCAATATTTTTTCTGCATTGTGTAACACATCTAAAAATAACAAAAAAGAATTGAATAATTATTTGAACAATGTTTTCATAAAAGGGAAATTGCATATTGTTGATCGACCGATTTCACAATGCAGAATAGTTGTTTAACAAAAAAAGAAAAGTTCTCAGGCGCGAAAGATAGATATTATTTTGAGTAAGAATTAATGGTTTTACGTACACAGAGACATTTATACATATGCATATATACACGCAGCACTCGTTCGACTTGTCATCCACGAAAAAAAAACACAGCACGTTACAAAAGGAATAACTCACTAGAAAGCGCGACGCCTGTTTCCACGTGCACTAGATACCAGATTTATAAGTCGCGCATACAAAAATAGGAACTTAAGCGAGATAATAATTGTTAAAAATATCGAATACAAAATTTCGTCTACATCCTAAAGTTTTACAACTTTCAGTATATACATTTCGCATTTCACTTTATCAGCATATAATCACATCGTAAAGTTTCGCTGTCGAATTTCATCTCTACAGATGATCGCATCTTTGAACAGAATTTAAACTAAACACAGAATTCACATCTTCGAATCACGCATCTAAGTCTACGGTTTTTTTTTGTGTATTTTGTTAAAGTAATATGATAATAATTAATATCACGTATTACAAATAACTGATAACGGCTAAGAGAATTAAACTTATGATATAAATCTCGCTATATTGCGTTTTCTTTTTCTTTAATTATTGTGGAAACAATGATCATAAATGGAGAATATATATAAATATTGTACAATCAAATGTGATGCTTTTCTTTGTTTAATCTTCTTTATAAATTCCTCGTGGCGCAAAGAACCGTGGAAACAGGTGAAATGATGATGAATATCTCTTTCTCTCAGACGCATTACGCTCTTAAGAATTAGCTCACTAAAATAAGGATTCTAATCACGGATTGATTCTAACAACTGTTTCGACAGTTCACTCTACGCTCTAAAAGTCTGCATCTTGAAGTTTCTATCATATTAGAGAAGATGGATATATCATTACGCGAGGCCTATATCATTACTAATTCTTCCTCGAAACTTCGCACATTCGTTCAAAAACTCGTTCAGACGTACAAACAAACATCTACATATATTCAGTGTACATACAGGCCGCACTGGTTACTAGTATATGCATTTGAATATAAATATATCGGCTGTATACGTTATTCGATCTAATTCTTTTTTCTTTTTTTCCCCTTTTAAGGCTAATTAGTTATAAATGGAGATCGTCGAGAGACGAGGCATCGTCTTGAATAATTTCAGAAAGTATCTCATCATTAAAGTTACATTATCGAGATATACATCACGGAAGTATTATTTAGCTTCACGTTTTATTTCAATGCGTTTCACGAACAAATATATAAATTCAACAGCTCAAAAGAAAAATATTAATTTGTCTATTAAGAAAAATAAAATTCTCTGCGAAAGATATCTAAATTTTACTTTTGCTTAAACATATATATTTATATGTTATATATAATTACAATATAATATATGTATGTATATACATACATAATTTATAAAATATGGTAGTAATTTAATCAACCAACTCTAGCAAATTAAGTGATCTTTTTATTCAATATTCACTGTGAATATTGAATAAAGATCACTTAATTTGCCAGAGTTGGTTGATTAAATTACTACCATTTTTTAATTATCATCTGATGACTTCAGTTTTTTACATCTTTTATAATAATTTATATGTTATATATAAGATATACTTATATGTTAACATATATATTTATATGTTATATATAAGATATACTTAATGTGTGTTTAAATTTAGAACTTGTATAAAATTTAAGGTAAGTAGTTACCCATTTATGGAAATGTAATTTTTCTTACGCATAGTGATGCAGAAAATAAAATTGACATAGTTAATGAAAACCTCCTTTTTCAACAAACTTGTTTTGTCAGAATAATAAAAAAAAAGAATAGAGGACGCATATAACTTGGCACTTGCATAGCGAGTAGCGTCTCTCAAGTTCTACAGAATAAGAAAAACATAAGCACATTTATAAAGTAAATGTGTAGTGTCATTTACACCTCGTCTCCCTACATCTGGATAATATTAATAGTTTTCGTAATTGTAGGTGTAGGTGTAGGTGTAGGGATGTGTGTGTGTGTGTGTGTATGTGTGCAGCATTAGTATTAATATTAGCAGCAATTTATAGTGATAAAGGTAGCTATGATAGCAACGGTAGCAGTAGCACACGTGTAAAATTGCTTCTTTCCAATTAATTAATCGATCGACCGATCAAATAAAAACGAACAAACTCAAAAGCTATCGCGTATACATTTTGTTTTCGAACGAGGCTGAAAAAGCTCGAAGTGTCACGATATTTTCGATCAATTCATCCTGTCTTTAACTGAATATCTACTGGCATTTGTGTTCCGATGAAAAGAATCGAACTTGTCAAATGTTGCTTAAAAAAATTCGCTTGTCTAGGCTAGTTTAAATAAATTCAATGAACGCATCTTGAATCGTATGTTTTGAAACTTCCCACTGTTTTAAGCGAGAAATGCGTTCCCTATGCGTTGTCCAGTTATACTTCTCGTGTTTACTTTAGGGCACAGCCGAAATGAATGGAATCTGTGTTCGCCCTACTGTACGTCTGCTAAAAAATCTCATCGATGAAAATATTATAAGTAACGGCGACGACGTAAAAAATAAACTTCCTCTTCCTGGCGTGATAGAGAGAGGGAAAAGGGAGGGCGCGTATGTATATATCTAGAAGATAATAAAAGAGGGGACTAACTACTTAGAAATCTACATTGGTATACGGCGGTGAACGCTACAATTTTCACGATTGCATGAGAAATAAGTAAAGCAGCAAGTTGTAGTCTCGGCTTCGTCGGTTAATTATGGAAGCGTCTGCTCGTACTCGTTAACATCGGACAGCAAAGCGGCGATTATTGCCGACTAGTAGATTCACTTTGGAATCTATTTCTTTTATCAACGTGTCGAAGGTTCCAGTAATACGCCTGATGACGGTTGTACAATTCGCAAATTCCTCTTGTTTTCGCGTTCCAATAAAAGATTAAGAAAAGAGGGGTTGTTCTAAAGTCGCGGCATAATAGTCTCGTGCCGACAAGCTTGCTTGGTCCTATTCATGCCTCTAAAATGATTAATTAGATATTAATTCGAGAATACTCAGATGAGGATCGAATAATTTTACATGTACGAATTATTTATGCGCTTTTATACACAGTCTATAATTATCAGGATTGGGTAAGTTAATTATTTTTTTATTATTTCAGTTACGTTAAAAATTGCATGAACAAAAAACTAATTCAGTGAAAAGGTAAGATTAAATATAAACTTAAGATAAATCAAAAGTTAATTTTTAAAAATATTATTTATATTAAATTAAAATGTCATAACTTAAAAGCTTTTTAATTTAATATATTTTTTTAATTCATATAAAATAACAAATTAAGGAAATAACAAAAATTTTATAATTAGAATTCTAGGGAAAAAACAAACATTTTTATTTATTTCATAATTTTTGTAAGAATGACACATCATATAATAAAATTATTTCTTATTAAAATTTCTTCTTAAAAATTTAATTGTCCAATGTATAAGATTTAAAAAACAAGCATTCAGAGAAATGAAAAAAATGTTTAACTTAGGAAAAAAGTAAATAAGTTTAAGTTCAAAATAACTAATTTAAGTTGAAAATTAACTGCTTTAAATCAACCGAGCTAAGTTAAAAGTATTAACTTTGTCACTTTTTGATTGAACTAATAACTAGTTACTACCTAATCTTGATAATTAGAATATTTGTGGATAATTAGAATGTTGATAATTAAAATTTGTCCGAAGTGATATCTTACCCTTGATACGACATTCAAAATGTCATTTCCTCCGTATTTTCCGCATCGGAGGAAAGCGCTTGACGCAAAGCTTCCATGCAAGACTTTGGAATAAGCGTCCCGACGATTTTCAATCCTTCATCTATCACAGAAAATGAGAAATTATCATTTCTTTAAGGCTTTGCCGGAACAATCATTTCGAATCAGCAATTTGCATTGTCGCAACTTACCCGTTCGCAGCCTTACAACTTGCATCTTAGAATTATGTCCGGATCGTGCAGCGAGCACGTTCTCCACGCGGCTCCAAACGCTGAGAACCGAACCGGCTAATACATTATAGGAACGTCTTCTTAAGCCCACTTCGCAGTCCATGAGTCCGAGAGTAGCGTTTTTACAATTTCCACTCCAGTACGCGTGCGAACACGTAGTCACGGAAGCCTCGTACTGTTGCGTCCAGTGCGGCTCGCCTCGTCGGAGCTAACTTTCTTATACTCTTTTCTTTTAATTCACTAGAGTCTCCTGTCGTATCTGCAGTCCGTGTGGTCCTACAACGAATGATTATTAGTTTCACAAGGTTGCTGGTTATAATTTCAGACTCCTCACTTGCGAGCATGTTAGATTGTGACGTCAGAGAGAGAGAGACGACAGAGAGATAGACAGAGAGAGAGAGACAGACAGAGAGAGACAGAGAGAGAGAGAATAGAAAGAGGAGAGAGGGGGGCGAGAGTGGAGAGAGAGAGGGGGACCTCAGGAGAGAGAGCGAGAGAGGGCAGGGAGAGAGAGAGAGAGAGTGAGGAGGGAGCGGAGAGATGAGAGAGAGAGAGAGAGAGAGAGAGAGAGCAGAGCAGAGAGACGAGAGAGAGACGAGCTACGAGATGAGACGAGAGAAAGAGAGAGAGAGAGAGAGAGAGAGAGAGAGAGAGAGAGAGAGAGAGAGAGAGAAGAGATGAGAGAGAGAGAGAGAGAGAGAGCCGATGAGAGGTTGGAGGCGAGAGACGAGAGAGAGAGAGAGGAGAGAGAGGAGAGAGACGAGAGAGAGAGAGAGAGAGAGAGAGAGAGAGAGCACAATGGAAATTCTTAGATGCCATTTTTAAATAAAACCATATTTTTTCCCTTTATAATCAATCGACATGATAATAAAAATATGAAAGACTCTGAAATCACGATCATTTTACAATGTGACTGATGTCAGTTAAGGCGAGAGCCTTAAATTATTGTACAAGGTGTTTCATAGAAAATTGCTGAAACTATCAGCCGTTATTTTTTAATGCATGCAGTTATTGAGAAAACAAAAATTGTGTTGAAAAAAGGAAAGTCTACAGTTTTAATAGATATAAATAAATGTTTGTATACTAGTTTATTTTATTGATAAAAAATAATGAAAAAAGTGCTAATAAAAATCGCTAAACTAATGATAAATATTTATAACAGCGCTAGATTTAATAGCGGCTATTAAAGGATTGTCAACAACATTAAAAATGACATGTTAGAAAAAGTTTTTACAAGTTTAGCACTTTTTTCATACTTTTTATCAATAAAATAAACTGGTATACAAACATTTTATTTATATACATTAAAAACTGTAGACTTTCCTCTTTTCAACACAATTTTCGGTTTTTTTTTCAATAACAGCATATATTAAAAAAAATAACAGCTATTAGTTTTAGCAATTTCTTATGACACCTGTAAATGCACAGTTTTAAGCAATTTATACCTGTACACCATATAAAATTGATCCTTCTTGCTCTCTTCTTCTTGCTGTCCACTGCAAGCGCGAGAATGGCCGTCTGTTGCCATTGCGGATTTGGTGGCTCAGGTAGAAGCCCTCCTTCGCTCCGGTTAATTCCGCGCACTTGTCTGTAGCTTCGGGCCCAACTCATGCCGCGTTCCACATGGACCACGTGCAGCTCCGTGTGGCGCTTGCCGGTCGCGTGCTTCCGCAGGAAACGGTACAATCGCACTCTGTGGACGTTCTCGCCCGCTGTACCGAGATCGAGGATGCCCATGTCGAAGCGGCCGGTCTTCTTGGCCTGCGTGATGATGGCGTTGAGCGTATCGGTGAAATATTTGAACAGACGATTCTGCAGATCGACCGGCATGCCGAGAATGCGATTTAGGAACTTCGACATGTTGTTGTAGTCCTTGTCGAGCGTCAGCACACCCGGTGTGCTCTCGCTATTGCAAATCAGACCGACGCCCACCAGCGCGTCCGCCACGTCTTTGAAGAAGTCTCCGTGATAATCTTGAGGCGATGGTACCAATGGCGCTTCGTACCTGAAAATATAATTTGAAATATATAAATAATATAATAATATATATAGATAAATATTTATACAGGGTGTCTATT